AAAGGCAGGGTCAGACTCGCTGACTCAAGTGGCCTCAGGCATCAGAGGCAGCATAGTGCCCCAAGGCCTCGGGCTGGGGCCCAGGACCCGGTCTGTAGGGCCCGGCGCCCAGGCCCTCCGCTGGGCCTCCCCAGGTCCTCTGCTCTTCCGGGTCCCGAGTTCTGAGTTCCCAAAGCTCTGCGTTCTTGAGCAACCCAGGCAGCCAGGGCCTCGGCCGAGGGCGGGGGCAGCAAAGAGGGCAGGATCCCACAGCGGGGGTTTCCTGGGCCCCCTGGAGCAGCCTCCATGGGTGACTCAGTTTCCACAGACAGCCGTCTATGTGGTGCTGCAGTGCCGATGTCCAACAGCCCAGCACCCTTGGCCCACCCTGCCCAGTGCTTTGGAGAGAAGAGGGGACAGGAAGGGAAAGGGGTTTCCCGCAGACCCGCTTGGGCACACAGAGCCAGGAGGGAGCAGCCTGCTGAGACCAGCTGGGGCTGGGTGGGTGGGCCGGCTGTGGAGAGGCTGGCGGAGGGCCGGCTCTGCAGAGCACAGCGAGGGTGGCAGTCAGAGCCCTCAGCTTTCCCTGTCCCCAGAGCACCCGTGGGTGGGCTGACGCCCTCCAGGGCCTGCTGGGTCTCAGACTGGGCGACTCGAGAGAATGAGATGCCTCTCCTGGCTCCTGCCTGGGGGCTGTAGGCTCTGACCCCTCTGTCTGACAAACAGCCCAAACACAGGCTAATGTCACTCCAGATGTCCCTCTTCTGTGCCTGTCGTAGTCACTCTGCTCATTGCTGGGACAAGATACCAACTCCTGCCACGGAGAGGAGGTTTATTTTGGCTCACGGTTTAGAAGTTCCAGTCCTTCCGTGGTCAGTGGAAGGGCCTGGGCAAGGAGAGCTGCTAACGCCACGGCCAGCAGGAAGCAGAGAGAGGGCGGGTCTGAGGAGGGATATGCCCGGTGGAGGACATCGGAGCAGGGGGCAGAGTGCTGGGCAGGCCCCTCTCACAGGCCGCAGGGCTCCAGCCAGCCCGGGTGTCCCGTCCACTGCATGCAGCTTTCCGCCCTGCCACAGGGGGCTGAACACGGGGCACCACTGCCTGCAGTCTAGCCTACAGTGAAGGTGGTGGGGTGGGGATGGGACCCTGGCAGCACCCAGAGGCCGGGCTCCGAGGCCAGGAGAGGCAGGGTGGGCGGCACCTCCCTGCCACGGAGCACTGCAGCCCAGGGAGGGGCCCCATGACCTGGCCTTGGGACCTGGGTCTGGAGGGACAGCCAGCAAGTGTAGGCTGGGCCTGGGGTGCCGGGTCAGGAAGGAGAGGGAGCCAAGGGCTCCTTGGGGCTCTGTCCCGGAAGCTGGGCCTGAGGGCCAGGGGGGAGTGCTGGTCTCAGACCTGACACCCGCTGTGCCACTGGGGCCCCCGCCTCCTTCTCTGGGCCCCCTCTGGTTTCCACGTGGCTCTGTGGAGTGGGGAGGGGTGAGACTGCGGATCTCCCTAGAGAGGCCCTGGGGCAGGGGCTGGGCCGGGTCTGAGGAGAGCGTCCCCCAGCCGGCCAGGGTTGGGGTGCTCTGGGCTGGGTGCTCTGGCCAGGCTTCTGGAGAGGTGACCTTGGGTCACAGAGGGCAGGAGGGGCTGCCCTGGCTGGGGTCTGTCCCCACGTGAGCCTGGCCCAGTGCTCTGCTGCCCCTGGCAGGAAGGGGTGTGGGGCAGCCACTTCGGACCACAGATGGGGGCAGAGGGCAGGACTGAGCCAGGCGGCAGGCTCTCTGCACCGAGCCTCTGGGAGGGGAGCCTGTGAGGGCGGAGCTGCACGCCCTGGCTCTGCCTCCTCCCAGGCTGTTCGCCACCCCACAGCTCAGCTGAGATGCTGGAGCCTGAGGGTGTGTGTGTGTGCTGTGCTCCATTTCCGTCCTGGAGCCAAACCCCCAGCCTGCCCCCCCCCCCCCCCCGCCCACCGACATCAAGGAGGGGCACAGCCTGGGGGCTGGCCAAGCCCACTCTGCCCCCTTGCCCCAGGAGGCAGCACAGCTGAGCAGGGTCAGACTGCTCAGCCTGGAGGCCACTGATGACAGCAGGTGAGTGCCGGGCGTGGCTGGGGCCAGGGACGGGGGTGGGGTCTCAACCAATGAGACTGGGCCTGGGGCTCTGCCGGGGTCCCTCAGGGCTGGCCAGGCTATCCGGGATCCCCCAGAATGGGTTGGGGTTCTGCAGGGGACCTGGATCCTTGGGGTAGACTTGGAGGAACCGGCGGAACATGCACCAGCTGGACAATCGTGCCGCCCTGAGAGGGCTGGGGCGGCTCAAGGAGTCTCTCAGGGCCTGGGTGCCCACCCTATTCGGACCTGAGCTCTGAGCATGGCGACTGAGGGCTGACCCTTGATTCAAGCAGCAGCCCTTGAGAGCCACGTTTTGGTCCGGGGCCCTGAGGGCGTCTGCATGGGGGCCGTGTTGGACCATCCTTGTCGGAGGGCACTGCGATGCCCAAGCTCCAGGGCTCTGTCCCACTCTGCCCCCGTGGCTGGCCAGTGGGCGGGGTCCTCAGGCTGGGCCCAGGCCAGACAAGCCCCAAGGCTGCAGTGGGGTAAGCCTCCGCCCGTGGCCACAGGCTTCTGTCCTGGAAGGGCAGCACCCAGCCGAAGGGCAGCTTTCAGCTTCCGGTATGTGCAGTGAGCAGCACTGGAGGAAGACAGCCCCAGAGGTGCGGTGCTGAATCCCTTACCCTGCCTCCCCCACCTGGGCAGGAAGTCACAGGGACCAAAGCCACCATTTCCCCAAACCAGGGTTCCTGACAGCTTCTCCAAATGAGCTGTGAGCGCCCGGGCACTGGCTGTGTGCAGACAGAGGCCGCCCAGTGCCTGCCAGTGGGGACGAGGGCTGCTGGTCCCTGGAACTCGACTCCCTGAGCTCTTGGGACCCACCCTGAAGGGAGAAGGCCAGAGCCAACCTGGACCTTGAACTCTTCCAGAGTGTTTGTTCCCCTCTACAGTCCAGTGTTTGTTTTGTTCTGAGTGGGAACCCTGGGAGTCAGGGTTAGACTTTTTAACCTCCCCAAGAAGCCCTGGGCCATGCTGAAGTGAACCCGAGTCACAAGCTTGAGTGAGTGACAGGAGCCCAGGGCTTCTCCCCTCCCGGCGTGCTGGGGTTAGCACCCCAGCCGGGGGGGCCCCTCCCAGGCCAGGGAAGTCTTCAGGTGGAGAGGGGGTGCTGGGGGCATGGGAGCGCCCCGCAAAGAACCAGGGCCCAGAACCAAGGCCTGTCCTGCCCTCCAGCAGCCTGAGGCGCTGCCTTGGCATTCTTTCCATTTCATTTTGGTTTTGTGGTACTGGGGTTTGAACCCCGGGCCTTGCCCCTGCTGGGCAAGCGCTCTGCCACTGAGCCCCAGCCCCAGCTCCTACAGGCTTCTGAGGGCCTCAGACTTTGGGGCCCTGGGGGCAGAGCAGTACGTCAGGAGCAAAAGGCGGAGAGGAGCAAAGGGCATCACAGCAGTCAGTGTCAGGGGGCTGGGGGTCTTCTGAGCCTGGTCTGGTGCAGGGTCCCTCTGAGGGGCCTCAGAACCAGGGTGGCAGAGGAGAGAAAGCAAAATTGTTCCAAAGGAAGGACCCAGAGCCATTAGCGGTGTAGGAGACCACACAGGACTCGCTGGACTTTATGACCCCCAGGCTGGAGTCCATGGAGATGTAGACGAAGGGCACAGGCCCACCACCAGCTCCCCAATGCACAGTGGGCCTGACGTCCCTGGGGGCTCCAGAAGAGGGAACGGTGCTGCCAGCCCCACCCTGGTGATTCTACCTCGGCAATCCCAGGCTTGGGTTTCTTCCCTCTCCTGAACTCCCAGGGCAGAGGAGGAGCTGGGCACAGCTCTGCCAGCCTGAGCCTGGCCTTCCTTGGAGGACCAAGTGCTCTCCCTCCTCTTTGAGCCTCAGAGGGGAACCCAGAAGACCCTGCTCTTCTGAATGCCACTGACTCCCACCTCCTGTGCCCTGGGAGGAACCAAGGGCCCTGTGGTTTGGGGTGCGTGCTGGCTGCCATTCCATGCCAGGACTCAGGCAGTGCTGTGCAGGGGACCCATTCCCAGCTGGCGGAGGAAGGTGTCAGAGTTGGGGTGTCCAGTCTGCTGCCCTGCTGTCAGGCCACCTGGATTGGGTTTGGTGGGCCAGGCTTGGCCCTCCTGCGCCACCTGTGGAGCCTGGGCAGGGCCTTGGGGGGCCGGCGTGGACAAGGAGAGGTGGCATTGGGGTGGACCCCAGCTCTGAGCAGCACGGTCAGGGCTGGAGGGACAGGGACCCTCGTGCTTTGACTGTCGGGAGCACTGTTCCTGAGCCCAGGGTGGACACCCTGGTGCCAGGCATGGGGCTGGGGTGGGATTGATTCAGGCAGGACGTCCAGAGAACAGGCCTGGTGGGGAGGTGCAGACAGGGAGGAAGGAGGCGCTGGAGCCTCCTGGGGAGCAGTCCTGAACCCCAGCCCTGCCGTCCTGGGCCTCCCTGTCAGAGAAAGCCTGGGTGGAGCAGAGCTGGATAGTTCACCGGGACAGGTGGGGGGGGGTGGAGGTGCCTCCCCAGCCTCCCCAGGCCCTGTGCAGGGCAGTAGGCGGCCTGGACTCTGCCCTGGGCTGGTTGGGATTCTTAGGCTGGAGGGCACAGCCTCTGGCTCTCTGTCGAGAGCTGCAAGGCCAGAGCTGCAAGGCCGGCTGGAGCTCCTCCAGCTCCAGGGCGTGAAGGCTTCCAGCCTCCCTTCTGCCTGCAGCAGGCAGGCCTGGGAGAGGAGGCTTGGGCACGGAAGTGGATCTGCTCCAGCTCCACAGCCTTGGACTCACTTGGCCTCTCTGAAGGCCTCAGTTTCCCACCCATTCATGCACCAGTTAGCCCTTGAGGGGACGCTGAGCTTTTTACAGTTTCTCTGACTGCTCTGGGGAATTTGGAGTCTGGACAGGGATGGGGCCGGGGTGGGCGGCTTTGGAGCAGGGCTGGGCCCACCCCCAGATGCCTGCTCCCACTGACCTCTCCCCTCTCCCGCAGCCTGGGGACCATGAACGGCACTTGCCAGCCCCCCACCGGGGCATACTCTCTCAGGGTCTTCATCATCTCCTACTCAGCCGTGCTGCTGGTGCTCGGCCTGCTGCTCAACGGCCTGGCACTCTGGGTGTTCTGCCGCCGCATGCCGCAGTGGACAGAGACCCGTGTGTACATGACCAACCTGGCCGTGTCTGACTTCTTCCTGCTCTGCTCCCTGCCCTTCATGCTGCTCTCCCTGAAGGACACGGAGGACACGCTGCAGTGCCGGGTCTCGCAGGCCGTCTACATGGTCAACAGATACATGAGCATCAGCCTGGTCATGGCCATCGCAGTGGACCGCTACTTGGCCGTGAGGCACCCGCTGCGCGCCCGAGGGCTCCGCTCCCTGAGGCAGGCAGTGGCCGTGTGCCTGGGACTCTGGGTCCTGGTGGTCGGCTCCCTGCTGGTCCGCTTGTACCTGGGGCAGCAGGAGGGCGGCTTCTGCTTCCGGAGCTACTCCCGGCACAACTTCAGCTCCACCACCTTCTCACTGGTCGGCTTCTACTTGCCGCTGGCCATCCTGGTCTTCTGCTCCCTGCAGGTGGTGACTGTGCTGGCCCAGAGTCCAGCCACCGAGACAGGCCAGGCTGAGTCCACCCACAAGGCTGCCCGCATGATCTGGGCCAACCTGATCGTGTTCGTTGTCTGTTTCCTGCCACTCCACGTGGTCCTGACGGTGCAGGTTGCCATGAGCCCGAGCTCCTGTGCAGCCCGCCAGGCGTTCAGCCGCGCTCTGTCCATCACCAGCCAGCTCTCCAATGCCAACTGCTGCCTGGATGCCATCTGCTACTACTACATGGCCAAAGAGTTCCAGGAGGCGTCTGTGCTGCCCACGTCCCACAGGAGCCAGGAATCCCAGAGCCTGAGCCTCTCCAAGAGTGCCCTGCCTGTGTGACTGCCAGCTCCTGTGGCCGCAGAGGGCCCAGGGTCAGCCCTCAATTCGCTGGGGCCCATGTGTGGACCCTGGGGACGCTGCACCTGCTCCCCTAGGAAGGGACAGGACGGGGCCACACACCTTCCACCCCAGGAGCTAGCACCCTGGGCACCATGGCGCGCTTTGATGCCCAGCCTTCTGCTCTGGTCCCCTGGGCTGGAATGAAGCTCTCAGCCTAGTTGGTCCTGCAGGCCTGCTGTGGGAATCGGGGAGGGAACGTGTGGGCCCAGAGGGTTGGGGACACCTTCCAGAGGACTCTCTGGGCTGTGCACCTTGGGGCCTCCTCAGGCCCTTTCAGCTCTTGCTGCCTGGGGAGCCAGGGGGACTACAGCCCCGGGAGGACCTTGGTGCGGCCAGGTGGGGCTGGATGACAGTGTGCCCAGTGGTGTCCCCAAGTGGTTTCCTTGTCTGCTCTGCCTCAAGCACAGGGCCGACAGCCACGCTCAGGGGGACGACCAGAGCACCTGAGCCTGCAGTGGGCGCTGCCCTGGGTGGGTCTGTCCTCCCCACTGGACATCCTTGGACTCCATCCCATGTCTCTGCCCTTCCGCGAGGTTGGAGCCTATGCAGTTCTGTGGGGCGGGCCGTGCTCTCAGGCACAAGGCTGATGGTGCCACATGGCCGTGCCAGGAGGACCCTGCTTACTTTATGCTTGCTTTGTCAAAGTCCTGCGCCTCTGGATGTGGAGGGACCACCCTCGGTTCTTGTCTTGCACTGGTGGTGGCCTGCAGGAGCTCGCTAGGACAAGCTGACAGTGACTAACACTGCTGCCAACTTCTGCTCCAGCTGAACCCTCGACTTGGGGCAGCCTGAGGCTCCAGGACAAGGGGCTGCACAGCGCCAGTGGGAGCCAGGGTTCATGAGGGAATCAGGCCAGGCAGCAGCCCTGGGCACAGCCCTCACCCCGTCCGCCAGCTCCCGGCCCTCAGCTAAGCAGCGCTTTCAGGGGCTTCGATGCTCCCCGGGGACCAAAACCAGACACAGTGGCTGTGTGCAGTGGAACCCTTCCCCTGGCTCCAAGGCCCTGGGTCCCCTCCCCACGCCACTCATCCTGAGTTTGTCACCTAACCCAGGCGTCCCCAATCCCTGGGCCACCACAGGTATTGGCCTGTGGCCTGTTAGGACCCGGGCCGCACGGGAGGAAGCCTCCATCACTCTAAGCTCCTGGACCCCGCCTCCTTCAGATCAGCAGTGTTAGCTAGACCACAGGGGTGCAGACCCCGCTGTGAACTTTGAACTCTTGGATGGGTTGTGGCTTTGTAGGTGAAGACTCTCATCCTGAAGCTGCCCCAGCCCCTACCCATCCACGGACAAACTGTCTTCCACAAAACAAGGTTGGGCACCCTTGGCCTAACCAGTCTCCACCTGCTCCCCCTGCCCTCTGCTCCTCTGTGGGGACGCACACCTGCTCCTAGCCCTGCTGGGGCCCTAATAGCTGGGGCGCCCGGCACCTCCGCCTGCTGGGTGCACTCACCAACACTTCCAAGGCGCTGCCCACGTGGAACCAGGCCCAGTGCCTCCCCACCCTGGCACCCTGCAGGGGCTCTGCCCTCTGTACCCCAACCACCCAGGCAGTGGGGGGCAGGCATGGGAGGTGCTGTGCCAGCCTTGTGCCCCTCCTCCCTCTGCTGCTCCCCAGCCAGTGACTCTCCCATGCCCTCCAGCAGCACTGCCCACCCGCAGGCAGCTCTGCCCTGTCCGCTCCTGTGTCCCCACCCTGTGCTCCTCACCTGTGCTGCCCCTGCCTTTGGGAGGACCCAGCCTTCCCCGAGCCCACTCTGTGGTTTGGCCAGGGTGCAGCTGAGCAGGTAGTGTCCATGTCACTGATATCCACCTTCCTGACTTTCATTTCTCTTTTTATTTTTTTATTTTTTTGAGATAGGGCCTCGCTATACAGTTCAGGCTGGCCTTGAGCTCACTATGTAGCCCAGGCTGGCAGCCTCCCAAGTGCTGGGATTACAGGAGTGTGCTGCTGCACTTGGCTGGAATCTTCATCTCCAAGTAACAGGGAGTCCACAGGAGGCTCCCACCCGAGGATGAGATTCCTGCCAGGCAGACCAGCTGGACTGGGGCCAGATTTGGAGGTCCAGGGGGACAGGAGAAACCAGGTTGGAGAATTGGCTCAGGCCTACCCAGCAGCAGTGTACACTACAGTGGTAAAGAGCACTGGGCATCATGGTTAACTCCAGCCGGTGGGGATAGCCTGAGGGCCCAGGGTTAAGGATTCTGAGTTCCTGTTCTGGGTGATCCCCCATCCCTGCATGTGCCCATGGGCTGTCCCCGCTGCAGTGGAACAAATAAGAGCAGCAGGAGAGGGAGACTCCACCCTGGGGGCCATGTGGCGAGTCCAGGGCTGTCCAGCAGACCCCTGCCTTGCTGGAGATGCCCTGGGCCCTGCCTGGCCTGGCAGTTACACAGGGAAGTGGGTGGGGTGGGGGCACACTGTGATCCTTGTGACAGGCACATGGGAGCCCAACACTGCCCAGGTGGATGCACCCCGCCCTTGGAGCAGCCCTGCTCCGACCTCAGACAGCAAAGGAAACCCCAGAGCCTTGCCCTGGGGAGAGCCAGCCCACTGGGCCTCCACGCGGGCAGAACCCATGCCCACGTTGTGCCCGGGGCTGTGGGCCCCTGGGAGCTGTTCACTGCCTGACCCTGTGGCCTCCAACTCTCTGCACTCCTGGCCTGGGAATGGAGAAGCGTCCTCCCTTCAGCAGCTCTGCTGCCCCCTGGGGTGTGGCCAGGAAAACTCCAGGCTTTGGCTCCACCCCCAGGCCCACTGCCAGAGCACACCCCAGATTTGGAGCCCTAGCACCAGTTGCTAAAGCCTGGAGCCCCAGGGCCAGGGCCAGTGCAGGGGAGCAGGGTCCAGACTCCTCCCACCACGGCTCTGGGCTGTGCCCGGGCTGTGAGGCAAAGCTACAGGGCAGAGCAGGTGCAGGACCTGGTCCCCTGCTTGGCACGGGCAGCGAGGGGCAGGGAGGGCACACTCCCCCATCTCTGACTCTTTCCGGGACTCCCCAAACCGCAGCCTGAGGAGCAAGCAGGGCCTGCTGGGACCCCTGCTCGAGTGGCCTGAGAAACAGCATCACGTGCTTCTGGCTCATGCCCGGAGTGCAGGCCCCAGAGCCTCTGTTTTTGTGACATAGCAGTAAAATATGGGCTATGGTTACCCCCAGTGGTCGCTGTTTCATGGCTGTCGTAGTCACTTCCCTCATTGCTGAGATGAAATACCTGACACCCACCGCGGAGAGGAGAGGGGCTTATTCTGGTTTGCATTTTAGAAGTCTCGGTGCTTGCATGGCCTACAGTGCGGTGGAAGGGCCTGGTGGAGGAGAGCTGCTCGCAGCATGGTGGACGGGAAGCAGGGAGCAAGAAGGACCCAAGGAGGGAGGTGCACCCTTCCAGGCCGCTCCTCAGTGACGCCTCTTCTGACCAGGCTGCTCCTCACGGCGAGGCCACTGTCAGCCCCGGGTCTGCCACCTCCTGACACCCAGGCCTCAGGCCGTTTCACGTCCACAGCCCACGAAGTCTCAGTTGATACACAAGCAAGGGGAGGGAAGTCAGGCGGGGGTATCTTGTGGCCACAGTGATGTCTTCCAAAAGGCCGGCCTGGCCTCCTGGTTCTAAGGTCTGGGGCAGGTGGAGGTGGAGGACGTGGTGTCAGCTGCCTGGAGGCCAGGTGTACACAGGAGTGGCGAGCCACACAGGCTGGGCTGCAGCTCGTGGACCTGAGGAAAGGGGAAGCCATGTGAGTGAGAGCCCCAGCAAGGCTGGCGGTGGGGACAGGAGTCCTGACGGCCTTTACCCCGGGCCACGCTGCTGTTTCCTGGTCAGCCGAGGCCTGGAGTCTCTCCTAGCTGGCCTGTGCACGGAGGCTGGAGGAAGCACCAGAGCGCCCTGCTCAGCAGCCGGCCATGCTCCAGCAGGCAGTCCCATGGTCATGCAAACGGTACTGGCCGCTGAGCCATGCCCGCCATGTGGGTGAGCCCCTCTGAATTCCAGGCGGAGAACGAGAGTGACCGTTCCTCAGGGCCACCGTGCTTGTAGCTTGGCCTAGGGCCTTTGGAAGGAGGTCTGTGCTGCCCAGGGACTGTGAACCTGCACCCCGAGGACAAGGACAGTGGAGTTATGCCAGCCCTGCCTGACCACAGCATGGACAGGGCACACGGTGCCCAGGGTGTGGCGGAAGCTGGTCCGAGGGCTCCTGTCTCTGGGCTGCTGCCTGGCCCTGCCCAAAACTGTCCACTGTGGTCACTGAACGTCACTGGGGTGGCCAGGCATGGCTGAGGTGGCCTGAGGGCAGGGTAGCGGGCATGAGAGGGTGCTGATGACAGCTGCCCTGAGGTCCCTCGCAGACCCACAGCTGGCCACGGGCAGGGCACAAACGTGGAAGACAGCACGCGAGGGAGCCAGGGTCCCGGAGAACTCAGTGATGGTCATCATCAGATCTGGGCTGGACTGGGCTGATGGGAGACAGCAGGAGGCAGAGGAAGCCGAGGAAAGGGTGGGTAACGAAAGCCAGGCCACCTCTGGTCCACCAGGACCAGGATGCCCAGCGCTGCCAGGGGCCAGGAGAGAACAGGGCTCCTGGGCCCACAGGAGACTACTCCAGAACCACAAGACATGCCACTTGCATTACTTAGAAATCAAATGCAACAAAACCCATTTGCTAATGAGATTCACACTTACATAAGGCACATTATGCAGCGCTTCCTTGAGACGATGATTTTATCAGTCCCCATGTGAGATGTGTAGTCACTCAGATCAGAACAATGTACCAAAGAGAAAAACATCAAGATCATTTTAGAAGACAAAACAAGGTTCTTGCTGTGTTTGGGGGTTACTTTATAAAACTTATAAGCAGTGACAAAATAATGTAATTCCACTTCTTCCAAAGAGACGAGATCAGGCGCATTCAGGGTGGACTCTTCTTCCAAATAGAGTAACATCAAAACACGTAATTTTTTTCTGAGACAGGGTCTTGCCGTGTAGTTCAGGCTGGCCTTGAACTCACTATGTAGCCCAGGCTGGCTTCAAACTCATGGTGATTCCCCCTGCCTTGGCCTCCCAAGGGCTGGGATTACAGGCGTGTGCCTCACAATCAAACACTTCACTCTAGGAGTCTTATTTAAGTCACCTGCACCTGCAGGACATACTAAGAGTTATAGTCAGATGGAATGATCACTTAATAGCAATAAAACTAAATAAAATCTTATTTTAGTAGGAAATAAAATAGAATTTATTTTAGGAGCAAGAAGAGCATCTTGCTGTGGTTCTGAAACTCCTAAGTGGGTTTCAGGGAGTCAGGTCTCTCCTGGGGTCAGTCTGTGTGGACAGTGCAGGGTGTAGATGCAGGTCTCTGCTTCCCATACAAGAGGGTCTGGAGAAGACAGAGCCATGGGCTGTGCTGAGGTGCTGTGGCATCATGGCCTGGTCCTGGGAGAGGATGAGAAGGCATGTGTCCGAGCTGGGGTGCAGCAGGTGGAGGGGAGAGGACTGGCCCTCCCCACCCAGGACAGCTGAAGGCCCATCTTGGAAGTCCTGGCCACCTCCAGAGGCCCCAGGCCGGAAAGCTGTCCCCTGGAGGTCAGTGGAAGGGAGGTGGAGGGGTCTGTAGGTGTGGGGCAGACAGCGCGATGAAGCCTGGATGGACAGAGTAGAAGGACACTGCAACAGAGGCCACAGGGTGCCAGCATCGAGCATTTCTGTCTTAGTTACATTTCTTGTTGCTGAGGCAAAATACCCAACACCCAAAGTTAAAGGAGGAAGGTTTATTTAGCTCACGGTTTGTAGAGGTTTCAGTCCATAGTCGCCTGGCTCCAAGGCAGGGTGGCATGGTGGAGGAGAAATAGTTCATGGCAGGCAGAAGGCAGCAAAACAGCAGTAAGCAACAAGTGGCAAGCGGCCCTCTTTCTGTCCCTTATACTCTATCCAGGCCACCCACCCCCTGAAAACCCCCACCTATAGCTGTGTGAGGCTTTGGTCAAAACAGTTTCAAGAAGCCTGTTGACTGCTAAAGGCAAAAAGAATGAAGATTCAGCCAGCCTGTAACACAGGTAGATGCCAGTAACCCGGAGGGCGGAAGAGGGTTTGATGGGTGGTGACAGCCACAGGGAGTGGTGCAGCAGCTACAGCGGCTGGGCGGGGACAGAAGACACAGTAACCCTGGAGACGCAGCTGGGGAGAGGCCGTGCTCACGCTGTCCTCCCTCCCCACTGTCCGCATCATCCATGCACCTCACCAGGGTCTGGCTGTGGCCACTCTCACCACCACCAGAACTGAGAGGCCGGGCCAAGACTGCATGGCCCTGTGTGGAGGGGGCTGGCAGGCCGCGCCAGATCACCCACAGGAAAGCTCTAGACAGCCCTCAAATGACAAAGAATAAAATGCCGAAACAACTCCGTTAATTCTCATAAGGATGGGGGTGGAGCCAGCAGGGAAGGCCAGGGGGAAAAGAGAAGATGGGTCGAGAAGTAACAGCTGACACAGTGGTGGAGGGAGTGGCCCTGTGCTGTGGGCGCAGCAGGGGAAGGGAGTAACAGCCTCACTCCAGGACGAGGACTGTCAGCCTGGGCCCAAAGGTGGGTGGCTGGCTCAGCGCCCAGGACACTGTCCAGAGGGACAGCAGACAGGCTTCCCAGAGAGGACCACACAGCCGGGGTGGGAGACCATGGCTTCAAAAGGCACTGGAGCCACAGGAAGGGGTCTCAGCAAATCTAGATATCTCAGCAGTGTCTCTCCCTGGAGCTTGGCTTCCTGCGGGCCCTTTAGGAGCTTCGCTGTCTTTAAAGGCGTGGACTGAAGCCTCGACTGTCAAGGCCTCACGGAGGGCTCACGGAGGTGCTTCAGACCTAGAGAACGAAGTCTGTGAGCTTTCACTTCTTGGGAAGGAGGTGGCAGTAGCTCCTCAGAAGGACGGATGGTTTCTGTAACAGCAGATGGATGAGACCATCTAAGCAGGCCAGCGAGGGCAAAGAAGTACAGACTTTCTTCACCTGGGCAGAGGTGGGCTGGCAGCGAGCGGGAGGCCACCAGCCCTGGACAAAGAAAAGGCAGGAGGGTCTATAGGGCGCTGGAAGAGGCCTGGCATGTCTATCACATGTAGGGGCAGAGCAAATATTTGGGGGGGGATCCATGCAGCAGTTGAGGCAGGTGTGTGGATATTTTCGGGTGACTGGGCACTGAGAAGAGGCTGTACTTGAAGCTGTTTTCTCTACACTGGGAACATCCTGTTCTGCATTCAGTGTCCGAGAGCACGGCTTTGTTGGGCAGAAACAGCACCTGCCTCCACTGCCTGTTCTGCTTCGTTTTTTTGTATCTTGTCAAACTGTAGCTTGGAATTAAAGAGCAGATTCACTCACCATTTCATGACCAGGTCAAGCCCGACAGTTTCCATCTGCTTTTTACCAAGCACTGCTTCCACCAGCATCAGTGCAGGACCTCGTGACTGGGAGTGTGTGGCGGGTGGGTTGTGTCAGCAGAGAAACCCACCTGCTGGGGATTTTAATCCTTCGCACCGCAGTGGGTGGATGGACGTCATGGAGCAGATCTTGGAGCACCGGGTGACTCAGAAGTCCCTGCCCTGGAGCACAGCCAGGGTCTACAGACACGCACAGCTGGCTGGCCGGGGAATGGGACTCAGCGGACGCCCGCTGCCCACTCCTCCTCCTGCCCCTGCTGTTCGTGTTTCAGTAAACACACAAGCTCGGCCACCCCAGCCTGCTGCCTTCTCCGGCTCTGTGGCGCAGGGCCTCGGCTCAGGCTGATGCACATCCTAGCCACTGCTGTCTCCTCTCTGTGCTGTAACCCACACCATCTCCTGGACCTATGACAGCCCGGCCCTCTGGGGCCCTGCTGGGACTCCGTGCCTGGCTCCTTCCCTGTCCTCAGACCGCTCCTGCTGGTGGAGATGCCATCCCCATGCACCAGGGCCCACTGAGGCCTTCAGCAACTTCCCATGGTCTCCAGCCCTGGGCACCAGGAATGTCCACACATTCCTGGCCACATCCCAGCTCCCCACAAGCCCCATGCTCCATGGCTGAAGAGACCTTCTGCACACTCAGCCAGAAGGCTGGGCCACAGGGTCCACCAGGTACTGGAGAGGTGCCCGCAGCCTAGGCAGCTTCACGGCTGAGTTCTGTCAAACATCCAAGGAGCGATAACACCAGTCTTGCATATCCTCATTCAAGCCACAGAGGAAGGAAACCTCCCCAAGCCATTCTTCGGGGCCAGCCCCACTTTGACCCCAAAGTGACTGAAATCATCACCACAAAGGCAAGCCACAGACCACTGTCCTCGAGAGCATGGACCTAAAGGCCTTCACCAAGGGTCAGGAAGGGGCTTTGTCACTCATGGAGTGGATCGCACAGCATCACCCGTAGGATTTGTCTCAGGATGGTCAGGGTTCCTTAGCATATGAAAACCATCAGATGTAACACATCCTGTCAAAAGAATAAAAGACCAGGTCCACACAATTGTCTCAAAGGATGCAGTAACCCCTGGACAAACCCTGACATCCGTTCTCTGCAGACTTGTCACAGAAGAGAATTTCCTCAGCAGGATTACAGGCGTCTCGAAAACCCCACAGCTAATACCGCACGCACTAGCGAGTGAGAGCCTAGCCCACGGTGGGAATAAGCCAAGGAACGGCTGTCTCGCCTCCTCTGCCCAGCACTGCAGTGCGTCCAGGCAGGGCCCCAAGGCAAAACCTAGAGACCCACACCGTTTTCACAGACCAGAAGGTACAGCGTTAGTAAAGCTCAATTTTCCATAAATGGATCTATGGATTCAATGTAATCTCAATTGTAACCTCACCAAGCTCTTAAAGTGGAAATGGACAAGCTGACCCTAAACTGTGCAGGATAATGCAGGCACTAGAACAACAAAGTCTTCACAAAGAAGAGAATGTCGAAGGCACAGGCTAACTCCCAGACAAAGCAGAGCATTCGGCAATCAAGACAGGGTAGAGTTTGTGTAAAGAGGGGCTAAACCAGTCAGTGGGACCAAGTGCAGCACCCTAAATAGACACGTTTTTACAGTCAACTGGCTCTTAACCAAGTGGCCAAAATATTTCAACCGGGAAAGAACAGGCCTTTTAGTAAATGTTGCTGAAACGATTAGATATCTGTGGAGAAAAAGAAATTTGACTCCCACTTCATATAGTAATCAAAAACCATTTCAACATGTATCACAGATTTACACTGAAACACCAAATCATAAAACTTCTAGAAGGAAACGGGGAATACTGCTATGACCCAGGGGTGGACAGACATTTTATGGGCAAGAGGCAGAAAGCAGTAACTATTAAACTAAAAAGTAGTCACTTAGGCTCATCCGAATTAGATATGTTCCTTATTAAAAGACATCAGTCAGGAAATGACCAGAAACTGGGAGAAAAAATTTATAAAACAAGTATCAGACAAAGGACAAGTATCCGGAATAGATAAGGGATTAGTGCAACTCAGTAAAACAACACACAGCCGAACTAAGAAAAACCAAGTGAAAAGTACGTGAATAAGTGAGCTCAAGGTACAGTGTTTACATCCTTGCCATCCAGATGTAGCTGTAAACCACGGAGACAGAAGCAAACACGGGTACCAAACTCGCCAACGCCGGCTTCCCAGGAGGCCTGCGTCTCACGTGCTGCAGGAGGGCAAAATCCTGACACTTTGCAAAACACTTAGCTGGTACTCAGGGCATTTTAAGCATTTAACCCAAAGAATTATAAACACACATCTACGGAAGATCTACACAAAAGTGGTTTATAGCAGCTTTCTTCACATTAATTAGGAACCAAACTACAGACATTTATCACCAGAAAGATAGGTACGCAGACAGAGGCTCAACCGTAAGTGGAATTCCACCTGGCAATAAGCAGGAGGAAGACACGGAGACACGAGGCTCTCTTCTCACAGACCGGTCCCTGTGGCCCACAGCGGGCCAGAGCAGCACTGTGACTCCGGGAGGACAGAAGCCTGAGAAGCCTGGTGGTCAGGCGAGGCCCCCGATTTAGGGGTGGGGAGGTGTCCACGGGGGCACGAGGAATCCGCGGGATGATAAAAATGTTTCTTGGTGTGGGCGGGGTTTCAGGGCTCACGCACCTGGGACTTGTGTGTTTCTCTGTGAATGCTACCTGCAGGCAGAAGAGCCCTCAGCAGGTGCTGACCTTCAGTTCAGGGGCCTGCTGGCTCCCAGTGTTGGGGTGCAGAGCTGAGAGCCATCTGCTGTGCCCTGGGTGCTGGGAATGCTGGGCCGGAGGAAGGCGTCACTGTGTGGAACGAGGGATCCAGCGTCCCCGGGCAGAGGGGTCCTTGGCACTGCCTGTCTCGCTCCCACCCCGATCCTCCGTGGGGGCCTGGCTCAGTCTCCAGGTCTCCTCAGCTTCCAGAACATTCCTTGACTCCTCCCGAGGGCGGGACCTTCTGCAAGGCGTGGACAGGGACAGCGACTGGCTGGAGTCTGGATGGGGCTTCTCGGCCCAGGAACCGCCGCCCCTGCAAGGGCCTCACTCAGGGGGACTTCCTGAGGGTGGGGGTCCCCACCTCCCGGGGGCAGAGGCCGTCACACACCTGGGCCCCAAACCGTGTGGGAGCCGTGGAAGACAGGCCTGGGTTTAGAACCTAGGGCCGCACCCCCCCAGGGCAGGCTCAGCGGGCAGACGAAAGGCCCTGGCACCCGCTGAGCCAGTTCTGGGCAGAGGGACCGGGCGCGGCTCCCACCCAACCCGACCCCCCTGTGAAACGTGCCTGCTGAGACTTGCAGGCCGGGTGGCGTGGACGGTGGCTCTCCAAGGACGGCAGTGCCTCCTTCGTGGCTGGGAAGCGCGGCCAGGAGGGCGCTGGACCGGCCCCTCCTGAGGGGCAGCGGTGGGCTGAGAGGGAGGGTGGCGGAGCCCCCACAGCTCCACCTGCCCAGTGAGTCTGTGCAGAGCTTGGCCTGACCTCCTGCTCCACCCAGCCCGGGCCTCCTGTGTGCGCAGCATCCGTGTCCGGCCCTGGGCACTGTCGCTGACCACGGCACAGCCTCTGTCACTCGCTCCTCCTGGAAGTGTCCCCTCTGTGGCGGGGCCCTCACTTGCCCGTCACTCCTGAATCCCACCCCAGGACAGGCAGGAGGGAGCAGGTCAGGGCCCAGCCCCTCCTCTGCTGCTTCCTCCCCGCAGCCTCCCCGCCCGTTCCCTCTGCCGGGACGGCCCCTCCTGCACCCTCAATGTTCCCCACAGCCACCCAGAACCTCAGGACTCGGAGTCCGGGTGGTGCCCCAATGACCACCGTCCTCTGTGACCAGGGCCTCGAGGCTTCTGCCTTCTGGCCTGGCCAGTGTCCAGCAGCGAGTCCCACTGAGTCCCCAGCCCCTGGCCCAGTCTTGGGGGCCACAGCAGTGTCCCATCTGTGCCTCAGTGCAGGGTGAAGGGGTGGGGGCTCCCCGACCACGAGCCTCTCCTGAGTGCAGCACATCCTGCCAGAGGGGAAGGGTGGGCCTCTTGCGTACCCGAGGCCCTGCTGCACGTGTGGCTTCCTTGTGTGTAGAGATCTGGGCCCCAGCAGGCCCCAGCCTACAGCTGCCCCTTGGTGGCTCAGTGGCCGATGACCCCGCGGATGGGCAGAGCTGCAGGCCCCAGCCAGGTGCAGGGAGCAGGTGATGCAGGTCCTGGAGCCAGCAGCCAGTGTGAATCACGGAGCTGGGACGGAGGCTTCGAAGAGGGGGCGAGAGCGTGTGTCCCACACCCTGGGAGGACGCCAGGTGGGGCAGATGCCAGGGAGGTGGGGCCGCAGGTGTGGCCTTCCCAGGGCCAGCTGGACGCTCCCACCCACTGCCGCCTCAGGGTCGGGCCGGCCTGCCTCCCACGTCAGCCCAGCTCTGTGGTGCACACTCTGGGGCCCAGGCCGATGGCCAGCCTGAACGTGTCCCTCTCGTTCTTCGTAGCCACCTGCGCCCTCTGTGAGGCCACCAGGAGGGTGTCCAAGGCCCTGCTCCCATCAAGCGCCTATGCCAGCTTCGCCCGGGAGGCGGCAGGTGCAGCCCAGCTGGCCGCCTGCTGCCTGGAGATGCGGGTGCTGGCAGAGCTCGGTCCCTGGGCTGGGGGCGTGGGGCCCGACCTCCTGCTGACGCTGCTCTTCCTGCTGTTCCTGGTGCACGGCGCCACCTTCGACGGTGCCTCTGCGAACCCCACCGTGGCCCTGCAGGAGTTCCTCCTGGCTGAGGCCACGCTGCCCAGCACACTGCTGAAGCTGGTGGCCCAGGCGCTGGGCGTGCAAGCGGCCGGTACCCTGACACAGCGCTGCTGGGCCTGGGAGCTCAGCGACCTGCACCTGCTGCAGAGCCTCCTGGCTGCACACTGCAGCTCTGCACTGCGCACATCCGCGGCCCAGGGCACACTGGTGGAGGGCACCTGTGCCTTCCTCTTCCACCTGACCCTGCTCCACCTCCGGCACAGCCTCCCCGTCTACAGGGCACTGGCCGTGTCTCTGCTGGTCACTGTCACGGCCTCCACAGGTGAGACCACTTCCCCCTCTGCTGGGCCCACAGGGGCCACGACCCTGTGTGACGCAGGACAGGCTGTGCCGGCCGGGGCTCTCGCAGGGTGGGCCCGGTCCTGGCCAGCTGTCTGTCCCCAGCTCCCAGAAGACCCACAGCTGGGTGAAGGGTGGCCGGGCAGGTTCCTCGGGGCCTGGTCCCACTCTGGCCGGGCGCCTGGTCTGGGGGTGACAGATGGCCAACACTCCGCCACTGCAGGGAGCTGCCGAGTGACCCCAAGTTCTGCAGAGCTGCGGGGTGGAGCTGGCTCTGTGCACACGTGGCCACCTGTTCTCCCAGGCCAGACCCCCAGCCCCGGGCATCTCTGAGTCCCCTCTGTGCCCCTCTGTCCCCATCTGTCCTTTCATTGCTCGGTCTCCTCTTCCCCATCTCTCGCCACGTGTGTCTTTGCCTCCCCATCTCCCTCAAAGACCACCTCCCACTCATGGGCTGTTGGAGGGTCTCCTGTGTGGCCCTGTGGCCGGCCAGCCATGGGGACCATGTGCGTCTGCCCACAGCTGGGCCCTACACTTCCGCCTTCTTCAACCCTGCGCTGGCCACATCAGTCACCTTCCGCTGCTCGGGGCACAGCTTCCTGGAGTACGCCCAGGTGTACTGGCTGGGCCCTCTGACAGGTGAGTGTGGGGACCTCGGGACAGCGGCAAGGCTGGCCGGGGCGGTGGCCCTGGGCCAGGAGCACAGGGCCTTCCTGGCCTCCAGGCTGCCCTGCCTCACGTGCTGGTGGGCACAGACCCATGGTGCCAGTGGCTGAGCTTGTCTGGGGCCTGTGGCAGGAGGCGAGCTCCCAGTCGGTGCTCCCGGGCCCCTCAGCAGGCTGGCTGCGATGACCTGTCCTGGTCTGGACCCCATCACAGGGGCGGCGGCTGGGGGAGCAGGCTTCCCGGGGAGCCACGCAGATGAGGGATGGCTCCTCCTCCCCGGTAGCCTTGTCCTCCTGAGCAGGGCTCCCTGCTGCCACTGGCGCTGGTGGCCGAGGAGCCCGGGGTGAGGGGCCACCCCCCAACTCGGGGCTGTGGACTGTGGGTCCCCGGGACTGCCTGGAGCACAGAGGATGCGGTAGGGCAGTGGCAGTGAAGTCCCTGGCCAGGTGACCAGCAGCAGGGATTCCGCCCCAGGTTCTGAGGCCAGGCCGAGACGCTCCCTGCGCTTCCCTGCTTCGCACACCTTTATAGGGCGGGAACTCTGGGGGCTGTTTCTATCTGCAAGCCCCAGCCCCAGCCGCCCAGGAGGTCCCCGGAAGGCGAAGGCGAAGGCCCGAGTGGGTGGTGGAAAGGTGGTCTGTCTGCAATCGGCCTCAGGGTCTCCAGTGTCCTCGCTGCTCCAAATCCCACAGGGCTCCACCTCTTGCCCGGGTCACCTCTCTCCTGCCTGCACTTTCTGATTCCTGTTTCCACACCTTCTCCTTCGTGAGTTTGTGCCTCCTTGTCGGTGCCCAGGCGTCCCGAGAAACGTGCAGGCGGTGACGGGCCCTGCGTGTGGACAGCCACACCTCCTGTGCAGAGGGTCCTGGCTCCGAGCTGCGGTGGGGTTTGGCCGGGGGTCACGCTCTGTCTGCGGATGGTTCCCGCTGAGTGAGGGCCCCACTCTAGGGCCTCTGTGATCCTTCCCAGGCACCCACACCAGGTGCCACGCTCCCAGGGCCTCACGCAGCTGCAGAAGAGCTGCTCCCTCGGAGGTGGAGGACGCTCCCGGCCCTTCCTGCTCCTGGGGTCACAGGTGTCCCTGGTTGTCCTTCGGAAGCAGGTGCAGGGCTCTGATCTCGGCCTCTGGTCCCCAGGTCTCCCCTCTTCTTACAGGGACACGGGTGCTGCTGGCTTTGGGGTCCTCTCTGCTCCTGCGTGACTCAGCTAATCATTCTTACACAGACCCTATTTCCAGGGAGGGCACATTCAGAGGTTCTGGAAAGGATGTGGTTTGGGGGACCTGCCTCCCTGGCACAACCTCTACACACTGCTGTGGGCTTGCGTCTGGAGGTCCCGGGAGCTCAGCACCCCATGAACACACCGGAACACAGCCTGGCAGACACCCCCGTGGGGAACGTCCCTGTCTCCTAGGTCAGGCGGGGGCCATGTCCCATGGCAGTGGGCCTCAGGGCCTCTGGGCTCCTCCCCCTTTCAGCCCACCCCCTGGGTTATGCATCTCCCTCCCTCAGCAGCCTGGGGCTGCTGCCTTCTGGGACCTGGGGTCTCGTGGAGCCGAGGATCATTCTGCAGCTCACCTCATGCCACCTGGGCATGGGGCTCCCTGATCCGACACACTCAGCTCCTGAAACATGTTGCTATGTCTCTGCTCTGTGACCCATCTGGACAGGGTGACACCTGGGACGGAATCCCTTTTCTACCACCCCGAGGCAGCTTCAGAAACCAGCCAGCCAGTCCCCATCCTTACCCCCGGTTCATTTAGAATCCACCCTGAGAACTGATGGCTCACAGGTGCTGCCTCGATGGCCAAGATGCGGGGTGCGGCTGGCTCTGCCCCTGCCCTGCTGGCCTGGTGACCTGAGCAGGTGGCCCTCTGTGGCCTGCTCCTCCTCAGAGCAGGGTAGCACCCCTCTGCCTCGTGGGGAGAAGGCAGTGGAGCGTGGGCAGGCTGCAGCCACAGGGACACGCTCTGTGGGTAGTGACAGGCAGTTCCCGGCCATGCTGCCCTGGCTACCACACCACAGGCTCAATCCTGAAGGGCAAATCTGGCCTCTTCTTTTGCCCTGGTGCTGACCTTCCCAGTGACCAGAGGCCACATGGGAAATTGGGATTCGGGGCAGGATGCGAGGGTGGGGACCCTGCCAGGCCAGGCCCAACCCAGAGTCCCCCGCTGGTCCCTGCCTGCCTCACCCCCAGGATGGGGCGCCCCTGCCCGGGCTCTGCACAGGGATGGGACGCGAGGCGGGAGCCCAGACTGGGTCCCTAGAGGACAGTGCAGACTCCGTGGCGCCCATGGCTCGGTCCCATTCTGAAGGGGAGGGGAGGAGGGGAGGGGCGGGCAGAGCTGCCCCGGGCTCCGAGGGGGCGGGATCCGTGCTGCAGAGGGCTGGCGCATCTCGGGGACAGCCCTGGCGTCCACCTGCCTGCCACCCGGCCCTGTCTCTTACAGGGATGGTCCTGGCTGTCTTGCTCCATCAGGGCCACCTTCCCCGGCTTTTCCAGAGAAACCTGCTCTACAGGCAGAAGAGCAAGTACCGGAGCCCCAGAGGGAAGCTGGCTGCGGGCCCCGGGGACTCCCACAGGGCCACACCTGGGTGCGGTGGGCAGGAACAGGGCAGGGCCCAGTGAGCCAGCACCAAGGGCTGCTGCTCTGGACTCTGGACCCCCTCATGCCCAGGGGCGTCCTGGATCCCTCCTGGGAAAGCTTGGGTCAATAAACCACTGCGGAGACCTGCTGCGTCCCTGGGCCTGGGGAGGTTCTGGAAGGGCGTGCTGGGGGACGGAGCCATCTCCTGCCCCTTGATTGCGGATGACAGGAACAGGCAGGACCCAGGAGGACGGGGCAGGGGATCCTGAAGAGCCAGCCGGTCTGCAAGTTCCCACCTACCCCGCTGGCTGCCAGGCCACGACTCGGTGCCCATGGTCCGGGGGCCTGGGGCCCATGGAGAGTCTGGGGATGCCGTGAAGCCTGCGGCAGACACCTGATGGCAGGCCCTGATGCCGACCTCCACCTCATCCCTGACCTCAGGACATGGCCCGGGCATCCTGCAGAACCAGGCAAATCCTTGTGGGTGGCCTGGGCCACAACTGCAGCACTCAGGGTGCCCACTCAGCCTTCGGGCTCTCTAGCCACTTGCTCCCCAAACAGAGGTGACCTGGAAACTTACCCCTGGGAGGGCAAAGGTCCCCAGCTGTGGTTCCCAGAGCACAAATGGAGAAGGCAGGGAAGCAGGAGGCACCTGAGGGTTTCCCTGAGGGTCGGGAGGGAGGCCCCGCGCTCCCTGCCCGCTGACCTCCCCCCTCAAGGCCCCTCTGCCTGCCTGGCTGCTGTTGTGGCTGCTCAGTCTGGGGCTCCAGCCTCTCTGCCCCTTCCTGGGGGTGACAAGCCCGGGGAGGGAGTGACAAGGAGCCAGGTCCCTGAAGGATCCCTGAGATGGGCTCCTGAGGGCTCTGGTGGCACAGGTGGCACCCAGCGCAGGGAGCGGTGGGTCTGTCGGCTCCCTGGGCAGGGCTGGGGAGGCTGAAGCTCCTCAGGAGCACAGGATGCAGCCCAGAAGGAAGGCAGCTCCACCCAGGGGATCCCCAGCCCGTGTCCAAGAAAGGCAGCTGGCCCCTTCCCCACCCTGCCCAGCCTCTTGCCCTCTGCCTACCTAGGACTGTGGTCCCAACCCTGTCCCGGGCCCAGCCTCATCCTGAAGCCCTGTGGTCAGGTGTCTGCACCCGAGGCCAGGGCTGGAGGGCCCTTCACCCTGCCTGAGCAGCAAGGCCCAGAATGGGTGGCTCCAGAACCCTGGACCAAGCCTTGCTGGCCCTGACCTCTCCCCAGCCTTGCCCTGAGGGCCCAGTGGTCTCAAAGTCAGCCCTGCCCATCCTGTAGTGCCCAAGCCACAGTGTGGCTGTCCCGAGGCCCACGTGTCCCCTGGCACCTGGTCAGGATGCAGCAAGACTGCCCCTCTGCCTGGGAGCTCCCAGCAGGCCCCAGGGCTGCCAGTCCCAGCTGAACCCTGAGTGCCCCAGAGGGGACCCGAGCCCTGGCCTCTCCCAGCCTCAGGTCAGGGCAGGCTGACATCATCTCTGGTGTCCTAGTGGGGGTCATTTGTCACCTGCAGGCCATGAAGTCACTCACCTCATGCCTGAGGATGTGGGGGGCCTTGCTCAAAATCGCCCAGCCCAGCAGCCATCTGTGTGATGGCAGCCCCAAGTTCCCACCCTGGCGTTAGGCAGGAGCAGGGCCTGCGAGCAGTGGCCCCATGCAGTCACACGGGGAGCTCGGAGGGCAGCTGGGTCAGTTCCCCCGCGTGCAGGCAGGTACCAAGGAAGCCCGTGGCTCCAAGACCACCCCAGTGCCTCTGGACCCTGCGCTGTCCGGCACTGGCCCCTCCTGGCGACGTTTCAGGCCCCACCCACAGACCCAGCCCCTAAGAAGGCACAGCCAAGACCCACGTGTGTGCTGCGTAAGAGCCACATTTATTTCTTCACAGACAGAGCGCTGAGTGCACACAGGGGTACAGGAGCCTACAGCTAACACTCGGTGTGGGACATCAGGACTGGATCGTTACATGGGCGGCGTCACAACATGGGCTGGGCGTGCCCACTGCAATCACATATGTACAAGCCAGGGGCTCGGCCTCTGCTGCAGGGGTGAGGTCCAGGCCCAGGGACAGGGAGGGACAGGGAGCGTGGCTTCTAGGGTCCCCCACATGGGGCATGGCCAGGAAGGAGCAGCACTCGAGCCCCTCACACGAGCAGCATCAGCCACATCCAGGGACCCCGAATGCCCAGGGCCTCCAGGGACCAGCACGGGCAGAGAAGGCTGTCACTACAGCAGCCCAGGGCACATGGGGTGTGTGCAGCCGGTGAGCACAAGGTTGGCATCACTGAGTAGGGCCTTGACTTCTCACCCTCGTGGAGAACGCTCCCCACCCCAAGACTGGGCAGCATTGGCATCAGAAAAGGGCCCGGGAGAGGCAGCTTCCTGGAGCTTCCACACCTCCACACTTAGCAGGAAACAGTGCCCACAGACAGACCATGTGTCCCTCTGTGCCACGCAACGGCAGCCTTTGACATAGGGTGGAACCCAGAGCCCAGGGGTACAGGAGCAGCCTCACTGATGTCACGCGTGGGGAATCTCAGGCAGGGTGGCACTTCCTGAGGGGTGGACGGACCTCTCTCGCCAGCAGCTCTGGGCTCCCAGCTCTGCCTGGAACCTCCCACAGAGCAGGGAGCGCCAGAAGCCCAGTCTGTTCAGGCCGAATATCCATCCCCGGCTCCATGGCTCAGGCTCCTTCACTCCCCTGGCTGCAGTGCTCTGCAGGCTGGCTGGCCTCAGGCACCGTGCACTGGCTGGGCCCAGAGCCCTGCACCACAGCTTCAGGCTGGCTGACCTGTGTGGTGCAGTGGGCCTGACCCTTCTTCTTTGGGGACCTGCCCTGGGAGCCAGCCTCTCCTCCCTGCCTGGAGTTGGTCACAGCGCCAGCACGGGAGCCTGAGCGAGTCGTGCTGTTACCTCTGCCTCCACCCACCTTCCAGGCTCACGGCAGGCAGCACTGCCCCTTGGTCCTGGTCAAGGGTTACTTTTGGTCTGGGTGGGCACCCTGGCCTGGGGGCTCGAAAAGAGCAGCAAGTCCTGGCTTCATGGTGTGGTTTCCAGGACCTGATGTTTACAGACAAGGTACGGGAGCCGAGCTCCCTGCTCCCCCAGGCCCTGCCGTGGGGCAGAGGCTGAGGGGCCTGGGTACTGCCCAAGGGAAAACCTCGAGCTGGAACTTTCCTAGTCAGTGTGGAGCAGAGGCCACGCATCCCCAGCTCATCCCCCAGGAGAGATGCTGTGCACACTTCCGGCCGTGGGGCATGGACTCGTGCGTGTCTGCATCTCGGGACAGCCTGGCTCCTGGCGCACCCCGCCCTGTGCATGCGGCCCACTTGGTTCCTGTTTCCAAATGACCCCAGATGCAGAAGAGCCCCGTGACAACAGCCAGCACATGGTCACCCTTGCCTGCCCGACAGGACACACCTCCCAGGGACCCTTCACGGGACCTCAGACAGGCCCTTGGGGCAGAGAGGACAGCAGCTGCGAGGAACTTGAGCCCTTCCTTCCAGGAGCGCCCTGTGGCAACCTCTTGCCACCGCCAAGGCTGGGGCCCTCACCCTAATGCCACCGCCCCACAGCCCTGCGCCCAGCCCAGGCGCCTGGCCCGCTGGCCTGGAGACCCCCATGGGGACCCTGACCTCCTCCCCCAGCCCTGCCCAGGACTGTCCCTGGGCCTGGTCTCAGACCAGCTCACTCTCGAGCTGCCAGCGGTGCCCTCAGTGCCCACCTTGGGAGCCGCCCGCCAGGCTCAGGCACCTGCAGACCCCATGCGCCTCTGGCCCTGCCCTCTGAGAAGCCTGGGCTGGACAGGGGCGTCCCCTAGTCCTGCCCCCGGCAGGGTGGCGAGCACGTGGGAGAAGGGTGGGGACATGTGGATCTCACAGGGCTACAAGGCATTAGAAATAAATACTTATAAATAGTACAGAGTCTCAGAGTTAATTTCTCAGTGGACTGTCTGAACATCACTACCTAGCAGAGATTAATCATAAGTCTGTCTATGCTTAAAAAACCAGGAGAGGGCAGCGCCTCCAGCCTGTGCCCCGGCCTCTCTGCACGTCTCAACTCCCCCCAGCGGTCCTGGAAGAAGAGAAGACACCACGTGCAGCTTGCGTGGGGGGCCGCAGCCTCAGTGCGCAGGCCGAGGCCGGCCAGAGGGGTCGCTGGGCCCAGCAGGGCGCCCCTGGCGGGGAGGGACCGGGCAGCGGATGACAGGACAGATGGGACGGACAGAAGGGCCGGGCCACGGGTGGGCGGAAGGGCTCCGGCTCAGACCCGCATCTGTGCAGACCTCCTCCTGGATAGCTTGGACCTGCAGGGGCCAGACAGAGGCCTGGTCAGGGCCCTGCCCAGTGAGGGCCGCGGCAGGACTTCCAGCGACGGAGGGAGGGGCTGCAGCCCTGGCAGTCCGTGTGACCTGCGCAGGGCCCGGGTCCCCAGCCTGCGGGTGTACACGTCTTTCCCACATGCAGAGCCGAGCCGCCCCAGCAGGGCCGCGTGGCCTGGGGAAGGCACGGCCGGTCCGTACCGTATGGTCCCCGCCAGCAGCGGGTTGAACGCATACAGCCAGTCATGCATGTCCTTGTCGCTGCTGGCCTGCAGGAGGATGCCACGGTGCTCCGTGCACACAGCAAACGTGTTGGGTGTCTGCAGAAGGGCGTACCGGCGAGAGGCTCAGGGCTGCGTGGGAAAGCTGGGCAGACCCCTCTGCGGGCACACACCCACCCTGACCCCAGGCCTGCAGGGCCCTTGCTGTCTGCATCAGGAAGAGCTGGCCCTCCCCAGAGCCCGGGTGTGCACACACGCACACGCACACACACACGCACGCATGCACACACGCGGCCAGGCCATGAGCTCTCAGTGAGGGGCAGGAGGCTCCCGGAGTGTGGCTCTGCCCACCTGCAGGGCTCACACCCCGGCCACAGGTGTGCCAGGGGGCAAGACTGGGCTGCACTGGCCCTGGCACAACATTAATCCTGGCCATGCACCCATCGCCAGGAGATGCCGCCAGCATCGTGAGCCCCGGGCCCTGGCTGCTGGGAGACAGCACTGGAGACCCCGCCCGTGCCGCCCATCCCCCGGCCCTCGCACCTTGAGCATGGCCTGCTGGTCCTCACTGTACTCCACCTGGGCGGTGGAGAGGTTGAGCACGAACCTCTCCACGGTGTCCTTGTCACTGTTGTACATGTAGGCGTAGGGGCGCCGGACCACCACGAAGCGCTTGGCCCAGCCAGCCGTGTGCGGCTCCAGGAAGTGCAGGTAACCCTTCTTGGACACGATTGGGCTGCAGAGGGACAGCTGCTTGCTTGAGGTCCCCAACTCAACCCGGGTGGCACAGCAGGTCAGACACCCCAAAGACCCAGCCCAGGAGGCCGGAGGCAGGGCCCCCCACGTGGCCCAGATGGCTCCCCAGAGGCTGGGGGGCTCAAAAGACAAGAGGCTGCCTCCAAGCTGGCCACACCCCCAGTGCCCCGGAGGCCCTGAGGCCCGCTCTGGCCAGCCACCTGCCTTTACATCAGCCCTTCCCCCACACAGACAGCACTGCCCTCCACGGGCTGCTGATGCCCACGCCCTGGCTCCAGCCCCCGCCCCACACAGAGCCGAGGGGGGCGGCCTGTCCCCACCTGACACGGATCTCCTGGATGTCGGGGACTAGCAGACGCTGGGGCTCCTTTTCTGACTCTGCCGCCTGGACAGGCGAGGGGGGCTTCTTGGAGTGGGTCTCGGGCACCAGCTCGGGCTCTGGACTGGAGGGCCGGGAGCAGGGCTGTGGGGTCCTAGGAACCAGGGAGAAGCCGTGTCCCAGCGTTCTCCGGGGCTGCATCCTCTCAGTGCCACCAAGGGGCGGCCTCTGGGGTGCGCCCAGCTGTGACCCTAGCTGGAGCTCTTGGGACCGTCCGCCCTGTGCTCACCTGAGCGACTGCCTGACCCCCAGACGCTGGACGCAGCAGTGAGGCTCCATAGCGACCTCGGCCCTGCCTCACAGCTGGGCGGGGCTGCAGCCTCGCTCCAGGGCGCTCTCAGCCCCCCACCTCTGCCCCTGCAAAGGGCCCAGCACCTCTTCCTCGCCAAGGTCAACCTGGGCTCTCAGGGCCAGTGGAGCAGGGGTCCCAGGCCTCTCAGGGTGGCAGCGTGGGTAGAAGGGCCCAAGGGCTCTTTCCCTTTTAATAAAAATTTGTAAACGCTGAGGTTCATGTATTTTTTTAAATTTTGCAGTACTGGGGATCAAACCCTGGGCATTCTACCAGAGCTACATCCTGGCCCTTTTCATTAACTACCTGATTGCTTTTAAGATAGGGTCTCACTATGTTGTCCAGACAGAACTTGAACTCACTCCTGCCTCGGCCTCCCAACATGCTGGGACTCCCTGAGGCACTTAAAGGAGAGTAAGAACGGCCCGAGCTCAAATCGGACACAGGCAGCGGGTGGGGGTCCCGCTCACAGCCCTCACGCTGCTGTCTGTCTGGGGCAGCAGGTGCTGTCCCCGCTCTGCTCCTGCTCCCCGGGGTCTGCACGTGGGCTGGCCCCTCTCTGCTGGGCCACACCCCCACTCCCTGTGCGCGTCTTGGCCACGGCCCTCGGAGCTCACCCACCTCACATCGGGGGAACCGTAGCGCCCTTCAACCAGAGAGGGGCAGGTGGAGGACGGGGTGAGTGTGGCTGCGCCCAGAGGGGACATGGATGGGTCCCGCAGCAGCGTGACAGACATCTCCGAGAGCTGTGGGAACAGGAAGCCCTTTCGGGGACAGTCCCCGGCCCCACCGGCAGGCACTCCGCCTCCTGTGTGGGCTCCTCTGCTTCCTCTTCCGGTCCGGGCCGGAGGTGACGCCGCCTCCGCCCTGACCTCTCCCAACCCTGAACACCCAGCCGTCCGTCCCCAGTTTCAGACTCTGCCTTGGCCCGGGTGGGTTCCAGGCAGCCCGAGCCTCTGCAGTGGACAGGAGTGGGTGTTGCGCAGGGGAAGGTGGCATGCGGCTGGCTGGGTGCAGGGGCAGCCTGCGGCTCGGGTCCAGAGTGGGAGGGGCCCAAGACAGGCCCAGCCCCGGGCAGGGGTGAGCCCGCGGGGCGAGGGCCCAGGAGGACGGCCGCCAGGGGGAGACACTGGCCCGCCGGGTCCCTCACTCTCGCCCCGGGCTTGAGGGAGCAGTGGCGCCGCTGTGTGCGGGTCGGTCCCCAAGCAGCCCTGGCTGCCTCCCGCCGGCCGACCCACCTTGCTCTCACTGGCGCTGATGCAGACGTGGCTGTGCGTGTACTCCCTGTTGAACGTGTGCATGAGGAGACGCAGGCACTGCAGACAGAGCATGGGTCAGGCCCGCGCCGCCCAGCCCCGACCCTGTCCTGGCCACAGCACCTCCACTGCCCAGGGCTGGGGTGCAGCCCAAAAGGTTGGGTCACCTGAGGTGCGGAGGCCCCCGCGCAGCCCCTCCGGAGAGCGGTGGGAAACTCCCCACCAGCTCAGGGATTCAAGACGGGCCAGGGCACTGCTGGGGAAGGAAGGCCCAAACTGAAGTCCCAAGGCAGGCGGTGGGGACAGCCAGCAGGGGACCCCAGGACACTCAAAATCCCAGCTCCTGGAGGCCCTGGCCGGAACTGACCAAGGCTGGGTCCCCTGAGAGGGTGGAAGGTGGCACCGCTCACCTTGACGGTCAGCTCCCGCTGCCTCTCACTGGGAGCCTCCAGGGGCGAAGGGCGGCCCTCAGCCGACAACGGGGAGGAGGCACCAGAGGAGCTTCGGGACTCAGAGTCCTCGCTGGAGGCTGGGGACAGTGCCTCGGGCCCAGGCCGCTGTGTGGTCTCCAGCTTCTCCCGCAGGAGCAGGTAGTGCCGGGTCTTCTCCACCTGGGACAGGGGCACAAGGCGGCCTTGCTGAGCCTGGGGTCCCCCGGTGGGGCTGCGCGTACACCTGCCTGGGAGGGGCTGGTGGACCTTGAGGGAAACCAGAGAGGGCTGCACGGCCACAGGACCCAGCGGCTCCCAGCCGAGCCCAGCAGCCCCCTCTGCGGCCACAGAACCCGGGACACCTGCCTTCCCTCGCCCGGTTCCCAGGCACCTACAGCTCTGCAGCTGGTGACACTGGAAGGGCTGAGGATGGGCCGAGGATGGGCCTGGGTCCTGGGGCTCTGCGCCCACACGAGCTGGGCTGCGTCCCTGGCCAAAGCGCAGAGCCCCCTCCCGACCTTCTCGGCCCTGTGGTCTCTGTCTAGACGCCCAGTCTCCTCTGCAAGCTGAGATGAACCTGCCCTGAGCGGGCCATATTTTCACCAAGCGCTGCAGAGCCCCGTGGTGGGCAGCTCAAGGGACACATGTTCCATGTCCTGGGGTGGTCGATGACTCCCTGGCAGGCACAGCGCTGGCTGCCTGGGGCCAGGCCCCCGGCCGGCTCACCTCCTGCAGGAGGCTCAGCTTCTCCAGTTCCCACTGGTGGTCCAGGATCAGGCTGTCGCTCCGGGGCCGCCAGCCAGCTAGGTTCTCCTCGCCCCGGACGTAGGCCACAGACGTGTCCAGCACCCGCCGGCGGCGCCGCTGCATTCCTGGACAGGGACAGGGGCTCCAGCCTTCCCAACCAGCCGCCTGCACTGGGCCACACTGGCCCCACCTGCAGAAGGCTGCCCAGCCTGGAGGCAGCCCAGGGGGCTGTGCCCAGTGGGGCCACAGGAGCCAGCCTGACCCTCCCCTCGCTGTCCTCCTGTCTTGAGAATAAGCTTGCACCCCGCAAGGGTAGGGACCCCAGCCTAGCAGGTCACCCTGAGTGCAGTGGAGGCTGAGCTGGCCAGGAAGCAGGCAGTAGGGTGGCCACCTACCTGGGCTACCGGCGTCGGCCACATGGCATAGGCTGAGCTCATACACGCCTGTCACGCGGTTGCTGTGGGAGCAGAGGGAGGAGCAGGTCTCCAGTCAGGCAGAGGGGTGCCAACTCTCCCCACCACCACACCAGGCACAGGCCTTGTCGCATACTGGTGGCTGTGGAGTTAGGGGCCCCAGACTTCCCCATCCCCAAGTTCAGGATGAGCTGGATGCCTCCTCTCAGTACCCCGCAGGGCCCTCAGCTTTGTCCCCGCCGTGGGCGGTGCCATGGCTCGAGCACAGCGCCCCAAAGCCCCAGCTTCGCACTTCACCAGCTCCCTGCAGGACCTGCACCCCAGGGAGGCCTTCCAGGCCCAGATTGCTTCAGTCCTCTTGTGGATGGGCCTTAGCAGCCAGTACTGTCCCACACTCGCCAGTGACCTCCCCAGTCACTGAGTCCTCACCACCACACTCCATCCCCCTAGAGGATCCCAGAGTGGGCTGGACGCTGCATGTGGTGGCCAGGACCACTGCTGAAGGTGACCACAGAGCCTAGCAGCCCCTCCTTGGCAGGAAGTGGTCAGGGCCCGAGGGCCCGAGGGCCTGGGATCTGAGCCCTTACTCCCCAGGTGCTCCGGACCCCGGGAGAAGAGGCTCGGAGCTGCCCAGCGCCCCCTCCCACCCCCTCGCTGGGTGGGGTGCAGGAGGCTCCTGGTGGGCACAGGCTTGCTCCCCACCCTGCAGACGGCCGGCTCCTCCATCCCTCGACATGGCGCTGTGAGCCCCATGCGCTTGTGGCCTTGCTGGACACTGTCACCCAAGGGGCGGGCGAGGGCCGCTGTCCCTGCAGTCAACGCGATGCTCACCACACCCAGGGCAGGGACACAGCAGCCCCCAGCTCACCCCTCTGCAGCCCTCAGGCTTCCGCTGCCGAACAGGTTTCGGATGGAGCGCGAGGCTGGCAGTTTGGCATCGCGGGAGTAGAAGACCATGCAGAAGTCCTTGGTGACGACGGCCGGCTGCATGCAGTTCTCCATCTGCGGAGCGCAGGCTGGGCTCGGCACCTGCACCCGGCACCCGGGGGCCTGGCCCTGGCTGGCACAGGTGCAGTCCCCAGCCCCCCAGCCTCCTCTGGGGTGCACAGCCCTGCCAACCAGCTTCACCCCGACGCTGCTCCCAGGCCAGATCCTAAGGAGAGGTGACATCCTGGCAGATGCCCTGGCCCCAAACCTCCTGCCCCTCACTCCTGTGCTGGCCAGAAGGCCCCAGCATCCAACTGTGCTGCGGAGAGGGTGCAGGCAGCCTGTGAGCTGCAGCCTCAGCAGCAGGGTGTGCGGGAATGGGGAGCGCCTCTTCTGCTGTCTGGGACATGGATGGGGTGTCAGGTGGTACCATGGCCTCTTGCAACTCGCAAGACAAAACCCAGACTCAGGATACCGGAGTGGACTGACCACTAAGGGTCATGGATTTAACTCAAGGACCAGAGCTGTCCTGAGAAGACAACAGCACCGCTGGAACTGTCCAAGGCTCAGGCGAGCCTCAACCCCGGGGACATGGGCAGGGGTCTCTTGCCTCGATGTAGGCGGACAGGGTCATGTAGATCTTCTCCCGGTACGGTGTGACACGGTTCAGCAGGAGCGAGTTGTGCATGGAGCTGTCCCACGCTGCCTCGAACTGGTAGAAAGTCCTGGGGAGAGGCAGAGAGGCAGTAAAAGATAACGGCGTGGGGTCGCTCCCCAAGGGACAGGGACATGCAGGGGACAGAGACAGGTGGCGGGGCGGGCAACACGGGCCACGTGGGCAGCCACGGGAGTCACGGGCGGGCGGCCGGGCTCCTTGCTCAGGGCCAGCTGCCCCGGCAAGCACTCCTGCCTCTGTCCTCCTGTCTCAGCTCTGTGGATGAACAGGGAGCTGAGACCCGAGGCCGGCAAGCCAAGCTGCAGTCTGAGCAAGGGGGCGCCCGCCCGTCCATCTGGCCCTGACCCTGGGCCCTGGCCCGGTCTGCCCGCCCTCGGCAGCCATCCCCACCTCCACGGGAGGCCCGGGAGGATGCCTGGAGGGAAACCAGGCTCCGGCCAGAGCACAGCAGGCTCCTCTCTGGCTCCCAACATCTGCCTGTCTCCCCAGGAGGCCACCAGGCCCCACGGTCCCTCAGGGTCACTGCTCTGGAACGGGGTTTCCTGCTGCGTGACAGCTCCTGGCCCCATCCACCCGCCAGCGATCTCTGAGCTCTCCCGCAGCCTCAGCCGGGGCCGGCAGCGAGGAAATGGTTCCGATCCATCCAGGCACCCTCACAGACACAGTTCACACATGTGGACAGGGACGCCTGGCAGAGCTCTGCACTGAGGGCCCCGGGGCGGCTCCCAGAGGTGCCAGGCCACGAGGGGGCTTAGAGGGTGCCGCGCTACCCTGTCTCCCACCCAGCTGGGTCCAGGGAGTGGGGCTCAGGGTCTCACAATCAGGGAGGTGGAACGAAGCAGAGGGACCAGGGCAGGGCCACTGCTGGACACACGTCACTGAGGAGTAATCTGGGGGAGCGGGCCAGTGGGCAACCAGAACAGGGCAGACGGCAGGCAGACATTGGAGGAGAAGGGGTCAGACAGGGCGAGGACAGAGCAGGCGGGCGGCAGACAAGAGTGGCTGTACCTAGTGTCAATTCCGAAGGACACGCTAAGGGCGAGACAGCCAGGACACACAGACACACAAGAAGAGAGTAAGACGTCAGACCTTGGCCCGCGGCCCGCCCAAGCGCCTCACGCCTCCCGAGCCCCCAGCGGGTGGCACCCTGTGCCCCTGCACCCCACTGAGCCCCCGGGGCCACCGAGCTGGAGTGGGCGGCAGGGTTCTTCCCGCTGGGCCAGAGTGGCGCCCCGCACAGCCCGGCTCCCAGCAAGCACAGCCACATGGCCAACCCCAAACGCCGCTGCTGCCTCCACGCGGGACCTCAGGGGGCACTGCTCCTCTGTGCCACTTCCCTGTCACACCACGGGGCAGCGGCCGTCCCAAGGTCCCCATGAGAGTGTGGAGAAAGTGCCGCAGCAGGACACCCATGCCACCGCCACCGCCGTGCCCTGTGTGAATGGGTCAGGCCAGCGCCCTGCCTGTCCGCCCGGCCACGTGCCGGCCCCTCTGTCCCCACCTCACCAGTTCGCTTCGCTCTGAGTGCGCTGCATGTGTGGATACAGCGCCCTGTGGGTGCCCCGCCCAGGCTCCTCTTCGGGACCCCCCCATCCCCCAAGAGGACACCCCAGAGGCAGGAGCTGGCCAGCGAGCATAGCCCAAGTGCAGAGCAGACTCCGCGGGCCGGCCCTGGGCAGGGAGTACAGCTCTGCTTCCCTCAGGCCAGCGCAGCCCTGAGGGTCTCACAGAGCACTCCCCCATCTAGCTGGGACAGCCCTGCCCTGTGCGGGCCCCAGGGAGCCAGGGTCTCCCCACATGTGGCTGGCACCCTGCTGCCTGCATGGCCACCCAGCCAGAGACTGACGTGGGCACAGCCACGATGCTGCTCACAGGCTGCTTCTAAGTGACGCCAGCCTGGCCACTGCTCTGCCCGGGAAGGGCTGCACATGCGTGGCCGCACCACCCACCCTTGGCCCACGCATGCCATGGGTCCACATGCCACAGGCAACAAAGAGGGTCCTCAGCATCACCCCAGGTCCCTAAAGCTCTGCAGATGGCGGTGAGAGTTGGAGGGATGGTGGCTGGACTTGGGGTGGCAGAGGGTGGCCCCTTTCAGGACTCCCAAGCCTGCAGAGCTTTACGTGGGCACCACCATCAGCACCCCTCAGTCACAGGGCAGGAAACTAGGGCCAGAAGCCTGCGCGGCAGCCAAGTCAGCCCACACCGGTGGGCTGAACTCCACAAGCAGCACAGGACCTCGCTGTGGCCCTGCCCTGTGCCCTGGCTGTGGTTTGGAGAGGGCTAGCCTGCAAGGTTTCAGGTGCGAAGATTTCACCCCACTGGGAGGTAGCAAGAGGAGGAAAGGGAAGCTGGCAGTGGTGCTGGGCTGCGAGGCCGCCACAGGCAAAAAGGGAGAGAGGCAGGACAGGTGCGCAGCCTGTCTCACCACACGGTGCCCTGTGCTGGCGTGCCCTGCGGGTCAGCAGATCAGGCCCCAGATTGTGGGCCAGGCCCGTGAGCCAAAGTAAACCTGGTCCTTCCTAAGTCACCAAGCTCCGATGCTCCGTACAGTGGGCAGCACAGACTGACCACCCTTGGGGTGCAGGTGGAGAGGACACAGGCACCAGAGCTGCACCAGCGCCTTGGGAGCCTGCGAAGGCTCAGGTTCTGGGGCCTCACCAGACCCACTGGGGCACACGTGCTGGGCGAGACCCCTTGTGAGCAGAACCCGAGCTGGCCCTTAGGGGGCCTCACCATTGCCGTAGACCTCCGAGTCCACCCATTCCGCAGCTGGGCAACACACAGGCCCTCCGAAGGCCTGGTCCACAGCCAGGGCTTGCTACTGTCCCTCCAGCAAGGTCGCCCCAAGCCTGCTTGCTGCCCTACCATTTATGTGGGTCCTCCTGGAACCCACACTACAGAAAGGGGTGGTGGGGCGTATTAGTCACTGCTCCACTGCTGGGACAAAATGCCTGGCGCACACAACAGGAGGAGGAAAGGCTCACCTTGCCTCAGGGATTCAGAGGTTTTAGTCCACGGTCACTGGCTCTGAGGCACAAACATGGCGGAGGAAAGGTTCCTGCTGCCAGCAAGCAGAGCACAGGGGAAGCACCCAAGAGGAAGAGGCCAGGGACCAGGAAAGACCCTAAGACCACGCCTCCATGACCCACCCAGACACGCCCAGAGTGTGTGTCACTCATCTCCTAGACATCCTCAGCCAATGAGCTGACAAGACAACCTGTCACGGGGGAGGCTGCCCCACACCTCAGGGCGGTGACACGGGGTCTTCCCCAAGGAAAAGCCAGCCAGCCCCCTCCTTCTGTGGCCAGAGGTGGAGCCCTGGCACTCAGGGGTGACCCGTGGCCTCCAACCGACAAGCAGGCCCAGCTAACCTTAGTGGAAGGAAGGCAAAAGTCACCAGAATCAAGATGGAGATGTGCCTGGCCACCCTAAGAAGCGTAAATAAAGCTGCGAGGTCCTGAAGGAGAGGATCTTCAGCACCACCACCTGAAGTGATTTTCATAAAATACTCGGCCAGACCCAGGGGTTGCAGAAACCACCGCACTTACACAAGACCCGCATCTGCCAGGGACGCTGGCCCAGCAGCCAAGGACTGACTCAGCTACTGTCCTCCTGGGTTTTGGCTTGGGAGCGTGCCCAGGCTCAGCCTCCTGGAGCCAGCCCGCAGTTCAGTTGTGCATGAGCCTCTTTGCATACTCTGCTGTTTGTGAATAAATGTCATTTAACCTTTGGAGAATCTGACGTTTTCAGACTGATGCTATACATCGTACCTGCTGCAGGTTTTGACCCCTGTTTTTCTCACAAATGTTCCGGCCATGGAGAGCAAGGAGGCCAGGAGCTGGGCGCCCTGAGGTCTGCTGAGGACTCAAAATCAAACCCGTGCTGGAGGCTGCAGGCAGGAATTCACGCAGCCCCAGGAAGCCCCTGGGAAGGTGCCAGTTTCAGGAGTGGCCCAGGTTCCTGGGGAAAGGGGCCCCTACCTGAGTTCTGGGACTGAGTCCCCTACTGCAAGAGTGGGCGCATGACCCCAGGTCAGGATCAGAGCACAAAGTCACAGCTGGGGACAGGAGTGAGCTCTGCTCACGCCCCACTGCCCGAGATGGGCACTGACGATGGGCAGCCAGACCCCGGCCTTAGAAGCAGGCTGGGCTTGGGTCTCCAGGCATGGCCTCCCCCCATTTCCTCCTCAGCCCTGACCCCGTCTCCCAGCTCTGGAGGCCAGCACAGGCTCCTTCTGGCCTGACTGAGCCCTGCCCTCTCCCCTAGGAGCTGGAAGTGGGCTGGGGACTCATCAGTAGATCAAGGCATGGAAGGGAGAGCACTGGCCAGGCAGGTTGGGGCGGCGAGGAGGAGGCTGCCTGCTGCCAGGCTCAAGCCTCCAGGGAGGGGGGCAAGGATGAGGGCATGCCCACCAAGAGCAGCAGGCCACCCCCAGAGCAGGCTCCGCCTGGACCCGCAGTGAGGCCAGGGCCGGCCACAGCTCCAGCTCCTACCAGCTGGGGCACACACGTGTCCACACTCCTGGTGCCCACTCTGATGGCACCACGCTCCGGCCGCTGCCCTTGGAGAAGGGGACCCCAACAGACTCAGCCTTGGGGAATGCCCAGCCAGCACTTGCACGGCCCTGGGCTCCTCACACCCAGCCTGGCCGAGCTGCCTCCTCCCCATGTGGCCTCCACCCAGGAGCCCCCCACACCCTCGGCCTGAATTGAGGTCCCCACTGGACCTGTGTGCGGGCATCTCAGCGCTGAGCTTCCCAACCACTGCGCAGCACTCTCGTCCCCCAGGCTGACCCGCAAGTGAACGACTGAAGCGGACTCAAAAATGGCCCAACACAGAAGGACAGAGGGGAAACTGAGGTCTCGAGCCCCGCATCAGAGGCTGGACTGGCACCACGCGGTCCCTTCCCTGGGGAAGCGTCGGGCTCTAGGCAGCTGGGTGAGGGAGCCCCATTCCCTGCTGCTCCTGCCTCCTGGGGAGGAAGCCTGTGAGGCCAGGGTGGGTCTCACAATCGCACAAGGCTCCGGGGTTCATGACCCTCCCGACACCTGAGACCCTCTCCCTGCACCTGCCACCTGCCGTGGCACTGCCATCCACCTTGTGCGTGGCTCCCGCCCCCCGCCTGCAGAGCCACCCAGCAGGAGGTCACACCTTTCACTCTCCAGGCTGCTCCTGAAGGCCAAGCCCAGGCCTGCTGCCCAGTGGGTGACAGCTCAGCTGGGATGGACTCCAGCCACAGGAGGGCCAGCGTCCCTCGGGGGCAGGGTCTCCTGGGTCCTGGGGCTGCTGCAGAAGGCTGTGCTGAGGACAGCAGCTCCTCTCCTTCCCAGACATTTGTGTCTGGGGTGTCTGAGATGGCCCAGCCTCCACTGGAACAAGGGGTTGCGGACGCTCAAGGATGGACAAACCCAGCCTTCCACAGTGCAGCCCCCACGACCACCTGAGAGCCCCGGATGGGCCAGAGGGTTGCTGGGCCCAGAAGCTGCACAGCAGACACTCTGAGCATGGGACACTTGGGCCGGACACACCCTCCAGGACCAGCCAGCACATGCTGAGCGCAGGGAGCTGGAAGCTCTGCTCAGGCCTGCAGGCTGCCCACCACTTCCTTGACAGGCATCCCTTGACAGGGTCTCTGCCTCACCTGGCCCTTGGCCCTGCAACCACATGGAGAGCCACAGCCCTGCAGCCAAGGTTGCTCCTGCCCTGGTGGGGGCTCAGCCACAGCCCCCTCTGCTCTGACCACCACAACATAACCTAGCAAGGGCTCAGCCTCAGACAGCCCTGGCTGTGCTCACCCTGCCCTGTGACACAATCTGGGGAGCAGATGGCACCCCTTAAGGACTCCCGCGCTCCTGGCTTCAGAACAGCTGGTTCACAAGGTGACCATCACAGGCCCCTGGCCACTGTCCACGGGGCTCAGAAGGTGACGCTCTGCCTTCCAGAGCTGTCCCTGGACAAAGCTGTCCTGCCCCAGGCCAGCATGGGCGGGGCCTCCTTCCGCCAGGGAAGGCACCTGCTGTGTCCCCGCCCAGCCTTAGGCTGTGGTGGGTCTGCATTTGGGACGAGCCGAGGGCAGGGACCCACGGGTCTCCTTGTGAATCTACTGCTGCCGCTTCCAAAAGGCAGGCAGGGCCATGCTGTCTGCCTCAGGGCCTGGTCCGGCTAACACGCAAGCGCAGCTGCATCTCCTGGCAACTGGGTCCTCTCTGCCCTGTTCCCAGTGGTTCCGCTTGGCCCGCGACAGCGCTAACCTGGAGCTGCTGCCCCTCACAAGCTGGTACAGCCCCGGCACCCGGCCACCTGCATGCAGGGGAGGCCCGTGCCCACTCCGGCCAGGCAGGGGTGTGGACATGGGCGGCAAGGCTGGGGCAGAGGAGTGGGAGGCCAGCCAGTGTCTACAGAGCAGCAAAACTACAAAGCAGCCAGGTCAAGAGGGACTCAGCCGAGAGGTTGGGGACGGGAAGCAAAAAATTAAAAAGAAAGAAAGAAACAGAACCATTTTCCAAGGAAATAAAAAGAGAAGCAGGAGGGAAAAGTGAGCAAGGTGATAAGGAACCAAAAAAGCCAGAAATTAAATTTTCAGGGTTGTGTGGGCCATGAGGGAAGGAGGGAAAAGGGGAGGCTGAAATAAAACCAAGGGACACAGTGATACCTAGGGATGTCCGAATCAAGAAACTGCCTGCAAAACACAAACGGTCACACATTAGTGAGGGCAGGGCCGGGCAGCGGCAGTGGGGCAGCGGGGCAGCGGGCCAGCGGGGAGGAGGAGAGGGCGCCGAGGCCATGGCAAAGCACGTGGGTAGCCAAGGCGGCGGGGCCACAGCTTTGGGGCCTCCCAAGCCTGGGAGGAGCAGCCCAGGCGTCGTGGGCTCCAGGGACACAGCCACTATCCAGGGGCAGGAAGCCATGCCCACGAAGGCCCACAGGGAGGGACCACAGGCTGGTGCCTGGCCGGGGCCACCTCCGAGGAGGGCCCTTGAGACCTCCTGGGGCAGGTGAGCAGGGGAGCTGCACCAGCATGGGAGCAGGACGGAGCCCTTCAGGGCTGGGCTCTCAGGCTCCAGGAACAGGGAGAGCCTGTCTAGAGAAAGCCCTGTCGGCCTGAGGGCCAGCCCACACTGCCGCCTCATATGTCGGCCTGGCTTAGCCACAGCCAAAGCCCTCGGGGTGCCCCTCAGAAGCCAGGCTAGTCAGAGGAGGACACAATGATCCCAGAGCTGGCCCTCTGTGCACGGACACTGCAGTGAGGCGGCCCAAAGACACCCACACCCTCCCGCCTCCTAACCCAGGAGCCCAGGAGCTGCTGCTAAAGGAGGAGTCGGAGGTCAGAAAACGAGGTCACCTTCCAGGCCCCACAGCAGTGCTCAGCAGCTGATGCCCTCTGGGGCTTGTCCCCACGGCCCAGGATGGTGGTCCAGACCCACAGGGGTACCGGGCCTCCCCCACATCCTGCCGGGGCCATGAGGAAGCCCAGGCTCTGCTCACCCCACTGTCTGCCAGGCTGCCCTCCTACATGTGAGCTCCAACCTGCCTGGCCAGAGCCACTGCAACAAGAGAACACCCAGCGCCCCCTCCAGCAATGCAGGCTTATCCTCCAGGGACCACAGGCCCACTGTCCCCTCCAACCCCTTACCGCTGTCTATGAAGAAATCCAGCTCTACTGGGACCCAGGAGCTGGGAGCACAGGAGCCATCCCCACCTGGGCCTTCTGTCCAGGGGTAGGACCCCCCAAGCACACTTGACCTTCAAAGATGTCTTCTTACAAACGCAGCCCCCGCCTGAGCTCCAGGGTCAGCTCTTGGGCCAGGTCCAGGCCTCAGAGAGCAGCCAGACTAGGGGTCAGGCCTGGAAAGCAGCTCACATAGCCACGCTGGCTGCACATCCCCCAGGCTCTGAAGCCCCCTCTGCCAGCCTCAGATGCAGCCCCTTCCCAGCCCACCTGCCTAGCAAACCCTGCAGGGCTCAAGCAGCCCCCGCACTGCCCGGATACCACCACAGGGACCGCCGGGCGGAAATGACCTTGGCCACTGCCCGGGAGCCAGGCAGGCAAGTGTGGTGAGTGGCATGTGCCTGCAGTGCCCTGTGGTCATCCCCCACCCCCGAGCTGTCGGACTCAGGCTCTGTGAGCCTCTGAACCTCCTCTGGGACCCCACCCCTGGATCCATCCCCACACCCTGTCCCAGGAGACCCACCAGAGGCCAGCATGTCCTTGGCAGCCGGCTTGTCCAGCCATGGCCCCAGGACCCCAGGACAGGCCCTAGCTCAGACTCCAAGCCCTGCTCCCCCACGACAGCAACGTGAGTGTGTGAACCAGGGACGGGGACGCTCGGTCGAGGGAGCCAGGGGCCTGGGGCCACAGCCTCTCCTCACTGGCTCATGTCAGAAGGGAGGTGGGGGAGGCCCTTTGGCCAGACATTCCCTGTGGCTGGGTGAACAGGGGCTGCCGGGAACAGCGGGACTCACCGGTCATCCTGGGCTGGGTGGAGGTAGCCAGAGGAGAGGATGTTGAGAGAGAGGATGTTGGGGTCAATCAAGGACTCGTCGGTTTCTGGAGTGTTTCGGATACGACCTGAGGGAAAGGCAGAGCCGTGCATCACATCCAGGAGGCAGTGTCTGGCCGGGCAGAGCCGAGTCAGCACATGGGCTCCCGGGCGGCTGCAGACGAAGTGGTCAAAGGCCCCAGGTGGAGAGGGAGGCCTGGCCGGGTCCTTGGCACTGGGTGGTATGGGCAGTCACCCCTCTACCTCTGCCCTGCACCTACACCCTGATAGATCCCGACCGCCAGCCCAGGAAACAGGACTTCCTAGCTGCCGAAAAGATCTCAGTGAGGCAGGGAGGTAAAAATGCTCCCGCTTCGTTCTGTGCTTAACAACAATAGTAAGAAAGACAGAAAAAAATCTTGTCTGCCATGGGCTTTTCCCTCACAGCCTCTGAGATGCCAGCACTGGCAGCATCTGCCCGCATGTGCAAGACAGGCTGCTTCATCTAACACTGTCACCCTGGGAGGGACATTCTGCCATCCAAAGGGGCAAGCGGATCACATGATTTCCTTGGCTAAGCAGTGACCCAGACTGGGCCTTCCTGCTCCCCCACCAGGCCGAGGATGGGGCCAGGACCCTGTCCACAGCTCTGAGCACGCGGGTCCTGGGGGTGGACTCTCGTGCAGATCCCCTGCCAGCCTTCCACATGACCGGTGGGACCAGGACCCCAGCATCCTCTCCAGGGCACCCACATGGGGTGAAGGACACATCGTTCGCCGCTCAGCAAGAGACACGTCTGGTAGACCACAGTTTAGACAGGAAGCCATGGAGGAAAAAACCCTATGACCTTCAGGGATACTTACCGGTTGAACTGTGCTTCCTCCCGAAAAACATGGGCTGAAGCCCTAACCCCATGATGCCCAAACGCAGACTCACGCGCTGACAGCAGCACAAACGTGCTTAGCCAGACTGTCCACCGCTCCGAGCACCTGGGGTGGCAGGTGTGGGCACCGAGACGGGGCCACCCTGAAGTGCAGTGGCTTCACCACGGTGGGGCTGGTGGCGTCAGAGGATGGCGTGTGAAGGGGGCACAGGTGAGAACTCAGGGAAAACGAGCCAAGAACACCCCACACTGATGTCCCCAAGGAGGAGAGGCAGGAAGACATGCACGTCTCAGAGAGGGTGCCTCCTGCTGGGCCTTGATTCTGGCCCCCGGCCCCCAGAGCTATGACATCAATTTCTGTTGTCTGGTTTGTCTGTTTGAGACAAGGTGGCCCAAGCTGACCTCAAACTCAAAGCCATCCTCCTGTCTCAGCCTCCTGAATGCTGGGACTACAGGCATGTACCACCTCGTCTGGCTGATTTCTGCTTTTCAAAGCCAACCAATCTGTAGCACCCTGTTAGTGCAGCTGAAACTAATGCACATCAAACAGAGATTTGGGAACCATCAGCTGTCCAGGGCTCCCCTTGTCAGATGAGGGCTGAGGCAGAGCCATGGGAGTAGCCAGGGCACACAGCAGTGGGGCACAGCTGCGGGCCTGGCCACGCTCCTCCACCTGCCTGGCCTCCCACTCACCCACGACCAGCTCCCGCACTTCCTTCCAGCGGATGTGACTGCCTGTCTCATGCAGCAGCGTCACGGTTATCCGTCTCTGGATGCCCTGCCAGGTGCCAGGAGAGAGGGCAGGTCAGAGGCCGGGCCGGGGGGGGGAGGGGGGGCGGGGGGCGGCGGGCCACAAACCTGGTGCAGGAGGAACGTCCCCATGCAGGGCATGCCCCCGCGGTGGTCGACCACGGCTGGGATGTAGCTGAGGAGAGACCAGGGTGAGAGGTGCCCTCCCTGCCCACTGGGCACAGCCCTGGTCCCACTGTGGGGGGCGGGGCAGCACTGGGAACGTATGCCGGGCCGCCTGGACCCTGGTACCCACACCGCCACCGTGCTGGGCGGGTGTCAGGGTGGGGTGAGGCCAGCCTCCAGGGTGGGTCTTTGCACAACCCCCAGAGCCCCCACTTCCTCCCTCCCTGTGGACGGGACCTGCAGCTGGTGGGGGGACCTCTTCCTCTAGCCCCAGGGCTCCCACCGGCATGGCCTCCCAGTCCTCCTGGATGCTCCCCAGCCACAGCTGGGTGGGCTGTGCCCCTGGTACCCGGGAGGAGCCTGGGTGATCTCCCACCTCCTCTGGGGGCTTAGCGAACCTCCTTGATTATTTGTACTCTTGGTCCAGGCCACCCGACCCCAGCCTGGGGACCATGCTCAGCACCACAAGGGGCCAGAGCCCCTGCCCCTCAGGCAGGGAGCCAGCACGCTTGTTCTCCAGCACCTGGCCCACGGTGAGGGGCTGACACACACCTGCCGGACAGGCTCAGTGCCCGGCCCTCTCCTCCCCACCACGCCAGGAGCTCCATCCCTGTCCCCAGCTCAGCAGGTGGACATGCACTCACTCGCCATTGGCCTCCAGCTCGCAGATCTCAAAGTAGACCAGCAGGTCGTACTTGCAGTGGCAGGGCCCAGGGCAGGGACGGGTCAGTGTGCTGAGCTTGGTGGCAGGCACTGAGGGGACAGGACAAGGATATCACATGGTGAGCCACACCCATCACAGGCTGCAGGCGAGGGCATGACTCCTGCCCAAGGTGCCCACACAGAACTCACCGGCCCTCGGCACGTCAGACCAGGGTAAGGAGCACCAGGCTGGCGGGCAGACGTGACCTCACTATTTCTCCACGCCCCAGGTGGCAGGAGCCTACACCCCTCAACACGAGCCCTCGAGGAGGGCGTGGCACGCGATCTCAAGCACCAGCAGGGTGCCAGAGACACCTGCTCAGGCCCACCCTGCCCAGGAGCCCTCTGCCTGCGGCACTGCCAGCCCATTACCTGCCGGCTCTTTTGCCACAGCCACTGCAGCAGCCCAAGCACACCCTCCCAGTCCCCAGCTCCTGAGGGCCCCACGCTGGTGTCCTGCTCCTGGCAAACAGCCTCTGGCTCCTGCGCCCCGTGCCAACCTCTGCCCACTGCCCCCTCACGGCCTTCCATCCCTGCCACCACTGCCCCACCTCACTGTGCCCCAGTGTGCCCTTGCAGAGCAGGGGACTAGACAACAGTTGTGAGCCATGAAGCCCACGGGCCTGGCTATGTCCCCTCCCGTTCCATCCTCAGCCTTCGACCCATCTTAGAGTGGAGCCCTCCCCACGGGCAGCTCCAGCCTGCGGGCCTCACTGCCTGGGATGTGGGAGGCCCCACCTACCTGGCTTGGACAGCGGCATGACACGAGGGAAGTGGCGGCGGGAAGGCCTCAGGGGGCTGTGGAGGAGGCCAGAGTGAGGGGCCAGGCGGGAGAGGGCCACCCAGGGCAGGGCAGCTGCTGACCCCATGTCGGCCCCTGTGCCCTGTCCCCCGGGCCCAGGAAAGACCCCAGCTTCATGCCCTGGACCAACCTGGGTGGGAAAAGCGGGGCTCAGGACTCCAGACTCTGTCCCGGAGGCTGAAAGCCATGGCTCCCAGCCCCGAGGCTCCTGCACTCAAAGTGCTGGGACCCAGTGCCTCCCTGAACGCCTGTCACTGCTCTCTCTGCCCCTGACACCGGGTGTCCCTCAGCTATGGGTCCTGCTTGACAGCTGAGAGAGAGACAGAGCTCGCAAGGACACTGGGGCCCCAGGCCTGCCCAGCTCCGTGGCCAAGAGGGCTTGGTTGGTCTGACACCCCCTCAGCTCAGGCCCAAACTCGGGCATGGGCGGGCTCGGGGGCCCCGCAGCCCCAGCGGCAACCCATGCTGACCTGAGCACGTCCTTGCAGAGGGGTGGGAAGGGGTGCTGCTGGTAGTGGCCGAAGACCTCAAACACGATGGGCTGGCTCTTGATGTACTCGATGAAGGACCTGGTCACCTCCACTGCGATCTGGTGGGTAAGGAGGCAGGTGGGAGGGCACAGCCAGGGAGGGCAGTCCCGGAGAAAATGCTCCCTCTCCATGAAGGACTGTGCCTGCGTGGGAACCCTGGCCAGGCCCACCCTCTGCCTGCGACAGGAACAACGGTCCTGGCCTAACGCGGTCAGCTCAAAGAGCCAGGTCAGACTCCAGCGGCAGCCTGGTCCTCTCCCTGGGGCAGCTGAGGCCACACAGAGACCAGACAGTGTGGCTGCTGCAGTGCCAGATTAAAGTCCTGTCCCTGTCCCTCAAATTCCTATGTTGAAGTCCTAACCCCCAGGGGCTTGGAATGTGCCTCCTGGAGGTGGGGAATCACAGAAATGACCCAGGGACAGCGTTCTCACTGAGGAAACACCAGGACACGGACCCCAGGGAGAAGGTGGTGTGGACAGACATTAGGGGAGGCGGCCATCCGTGGTCACGGACAGAGGCCTCGGAAGGTCCAGCACCACCACCCTGGCCTCTGCAGACCCAGGTGCCAGTGCCCTGCCCTAGTCAGTGCCAGCCTCAGTGCCCTCTGCCCAGTCACCTTACAGCCCTTGGCCAGTGTCACTGTTGCCAAGCTTGGCACTTCTGTCCCTTCTGCCTGGTGGCCCCACCTCCCAACTGAGCTTCCCGGAGCCCCACAGAGCCACTGCGCCCTGCAGCCACCAGCCGGCCCCCCAAGGGACCGCTCGCCACGCTCTCGTCCTGGAGCTCCCCGGCTTCTCAGGAGTCCTCAGGGCTCCTGCCACCCTCAGTGCCTGGTCCCCCTGGCCCTGAAGCCCACGCCAGCTGCTTTTGCTGAGCACCCTGAGCCCTCAGCATAGGCTGCAGCCAGGACCTCTCCCGATACCTCGCGCCTGCGTCTGCCTGAGGTCCACTGAGGGGCCGCTTGTGCACCCCCGTGAAGCCTGTCAGGGCCGCCTGCCCTGCAGCTGTAGCCCCACATAGCCCTGCAGGGCCCATGTGTAGGTGCTGGGCAGAAGTGAGCACAGGAGTGGCTCAGAGAGGCAGGCCTGGGAGGGAGAGCGCCCGGGACGTACATTCTGGACGTGGTAGAAGCCGAGTGGGGGGCCCCTGCCTGTGTTCTTCAGGGGCTCCGTGGAGAAGGCCTCGTCGTGCCGGTGGATGAAGCTGCAGAGAGGGACGAGGCACTTGGTGGGGCGGGACTTGGGGCAGCGTGGCCCCACCCTCAGGCCTGGCTGGTGGCAGGCAGGGCAGCCCTGGGCTAGGGGCAGGGTTACAGCAGGGCTCACTTGAACTGACAGAAGATGTCGGCGTATTCGGCAGAGATGCTGGACGCCTGCAGGACAGTCACACGGAAGGTGAAGGTGCTGCCCAGGTGGAGGTGGTCCAGGGTGGCTTTCTCAGGGCTGTCCAGGAGGAGTCCATCCGGGGGCACTGCTGCTGGGAGTGGGTAGAGCAATGCTCCAGGCCACCCTGCCACCCAGATGGGCTGGATGGGGCGGACACACCCAGTGGTCGGGTAGCCAGGCGCCTACCGGAGCAGCTGTTGTTGTTGACCTCATCGGCCGAGGGCCCTACATCAGCACCCTGGCCCTGGCCCTCCACGATGCGGAGTTCTTCCTGGGAGGTCCCCGAGCGGGACATCCCCACCACAGGGCAGGACTCGGACTGGAACTGTGGGGGACAGCACGGCTCTGTCATGAACCCAAGGGAGGCCATGCCTCTGGGAACATGCAACACTCCGCTCAGACCCCAGCCAGGAGACCCAGGAGCAGCGTGGGGGTGAGGGGAGCTGCAGGTCACGACAAACTAGGGAAGGGGTGTCGAGTGTTTACCCAGAGGCCCACTGCCTGGGTAGGATCCGCGGGACCCACACACCGCCAGCGGCTGCCACCGGAGGCCTGGGGACTGAGGAGTGGCCCCACCATGTGCAGGCCAACTGTGCGCAGTACCTTTTCAAAATGCTGGTCATCGAAAGAGATCTTCGCAGTTCCCGACTGGCGGACACCGGAGCCATAGTCAGGGGCCTCCTCGTCAGCTGCAGGAGGTGAGCAGGTGGTCATGCCCAGCTTGTCCCAGACGGGCAGAGCCAGGCTGAGCCCCCACTGAGTGCTCAGGGGTTTGCAAACTGCCCAGGACAACACCCATGGCCGCCCCCTTCCCCACGGACTCCTGACCTGGTCCCACTGCTCCCAGGGCTCCTGTCCCCCAGCCCGGCACAGGCCTTGGGGGGCCACCACGCTGTCCTCTCCACTGCACTGCTCGTGGCCAGTGCTCTCCCAGCCCATACAGTGCTGGCCAAGCCTGCCCCTAACGGGGCTCGTGCCCTGGCCCCAGGCACCGCGGGGCTTGCACCTCTCCTATGTCACCTTTCCCAGAGCCACAGAGGGAACCACCCACATCACCCCAGATACAGTCTTCCAGCTGGAGAGCAGCTCCTGTCCCAGCTCTGATCCTAAACACAGTCCAGGAACAGAAGGAACCGTGGCTGCCCACACCCTCGTCTGACTCCACACGGCGCTGGGAGGTGACCTTCCCGGTAAACCTGTGGCTCCATGAGGACCCCAAAGGGTCCCTCCCTGAGGGCAGAGCAGGACCACAGCTCTCAGAGGATGCAGTGGGGAGGGGGTGGCTCAGCTCTACTGCATGAGCAAGGCCCGGATGGGGCAGGAGGGGAGCAAGGCCTGGTGGTCGGGAGCAGCCCCCGAGGGAGGGTTAGGCAGCACCCTGCTTTCCAACAGACAGGCTGCAGGTGTGGGCTCCCCTTCTCAGCTGGGGTCCTGGGGCCTCAGTGACTGCACTTCCTTTCCATAGCAATGCAGAGGCATCTAGGCGGGCAAGAGGCGCTGTAAGAGCATTTGGGAGCCACAGGCTGCTGGGAGTTTGGTGACAGGGCGAGACGTTAATTACACCAGTGGAGCAGCGTTACAGTCTCGAGAAGTGGCCAAGGGGACCAGACACGGCGGGGGCCACGGCACATGGGGTGCTGGCCCCTCAGTCCCTCCGGGCCCAGCCCACGTGTCCTCTCTCCTGTTTGTCTACCTGTCTGCCTCACTCTCTCTCCAAGGCGCCAGGCAGCCAGGTCTTTGGAGGGAACAGCGAGTCCCCACAGGAGGAAGCCTGGGGCCAGGAGTCTGCAGCCTTCTCCACAGGGAAGGGCGCCTCCCAGTGCCTGATGCCCGAGCTGAGTGGGCTCAGGAAGCCCTGGGCACAGCTTGTGTGGCCCAAGCTGGCCCCGGCCAGCCCCGAGCACAGGGGACACCCTGTCAGGCCGGCTTGGGAGGGTGGGGAGGGCAGCGCCTCAGCCACTGTGCCTGCCTGCACCACCCGCCAGCGCCTGCTCGCACCTGAGATGGCCTGCACGGCCACACGCAGGAAGCCCTTCACCTCGCCCTTCTCGCTCACGATGGCCACGCGGTGCACCAGGGGCACGGGGTACAGCAGGTTGCTCAGGTACACGAAGGCCCTGGGGAGCAGAGGTCGGTCACAGGCGCCAGGGCCCTGTGCAGAAGGACAGCACCAGGGACAGCACGCCGGTCACAACACAACACGACGCTGCGGAGCAGAGCGGGCGAAGCACGGACAGCCAGGGTGAGGGAGGTGGGGAGAGGGTCCCGGGCCTTCGAGGTGCAGAGACGGGAGGAGGCAGGGGCACAGAGAAGGCGGGCTCGGGGCACAGGGGCAGAGGGCGCTGCCCAGCGAAGCCCAGCACGGCAGCTGAGCAGAGGGCAGCTGAGGGTTTCAGCCTGCTTCAAGGACGAGGACCCACCTGGGGTGGCCCCTGAGCCTTCACCTCTGACGTACTGACGCCACTTCCCCAATGGCCCCACCAAGCAGCTCCACCCCGGAGGCCAAGACTCAAGAGGGGCGCCCCAGACCAGCACACCCCAGGCTTGTAGCACTGCCCACCTGCCCCATCCATGAGCAGAACACCAAGAGCCTCCTGTCCCTGTAGCTGGTACCTGCCTGGCTTGGACAGCGCTCCTGCCCCAGGGTGGCTGCTACAACCCCGAGCTGCCCAACACGGGGCATCACACGGGCAGAGGAACAGAGGACCCTGAAGACACTGTGCCAGTCTGGTGTGTGGACTGCGAGGGGGGCTGCTCAGGGTGGGGCACTTCCTAGGGATGGGGCGTCCTCTGGGTTGGGGCACCCTCAGGGGGAGGATGGCCACCCAGGTGAGCTGCCCAGTGACCTGGCCCTTAGCCCCTGCCCTCCTCTCCAGCAGTGACCCACAGCCAAAGGGCAGGCGACTCCTGGAAGGGGCACAGTGTGGGCAGGATGGACAGGACGGGGACACGGGAGGCGGGAGAAGAGTAGGACAGGGCTCTCACTCAGGTGTGGGAGCGGGACAGGCAGGCAGAGGACACGGGCTGCTGCCAGGTGGGCACTGGGCAGGGCGTGGACGAAGGGGGAGGAGGGAGCAGGACAGACACTGCGCCCACTCAGCCCTGCACGTCGGACACCGCCTGCTGTGCCTGCTCCCGCATGACAGCCTGCTCACAGGAGCACAGCTCAGGGTGTAGGGCAGCACTCAGAACCAGACCCCACACACGCTTCTTCCCACTCAGCCCCGGGGGGCTCCGCATCACAGGAAGGGTCTGAGGACACAGCCAGAAGCCCCACACGCTCCAGATACCCAAGCTCACCGCAGGAGCAACGAGCCCCACAGGCCGGGGGAGCCGATAGGCCCTGGGCGTCCTGAGCAGTCTCTGGCCCCCAGCGACAACAGCCGTGCTGTCACTCCCCTCTCTGGGCCCCTTCCTCCCAGCCTCCTGGCGCTGGCCTCAAGGCCTCCTGCTTCCTGAGCATCCTGCCACATAGACCAGGCTGCCATCCCAGCAGCCTGGCGAGGTCGCTGGGGCAGGACTGGGACTGGGCCAGGGAGCCCCGGGCTGCCTTCCTGCAGCAGAGGAAGCCCACTCACCACACTCCTAGGCAGAGGAAGCCCAGTGCACTGCTCCCTCAGGACACCCCGAGGGAGCACCGGCCCCAGCCTTCCTTCCAGGAGTCAATGAGCAGCGGCCATGTCGGGGGTGCAGAAAGCCCCTAGGGGGACTTTGGGGGTATGCCTGCTGTGGCCGGGTGGGGTGCTGGGAGGGGTGAATAGCCATTAGGGCCAGCAGCCAGTCCAGGCTGCCCCTGCACGGCTCAACTCCTGGGGCTCTGGGGAGCCAGCACAGCTGGGCTCAGCCTGGCCAGATGCACCCCTCGGGGCCCACGGGACGGGGCAGGTGCCCACCTGGGACACTCACAGGTCCCATGGCCATCCAGAACCTGGCTCTCCCCCGACCCCCCTAACGGGCAGGTCCTGGGGTCTACAGCAGTGCACAGAGGGGAAAACTGAGGCAAGGCCTTGCCAGGCAGTGCTGCAGTTGGCAGCCCTCCTTGGCTGCTGACAAACCCTGCTAGAAACCTATGCCACCCCAGGGCAGCTGCTTCCTGCCGCATGGCACGCAGATGCTGGGGTTCCTGACATCCCGTGGGAGGGCAACAGGGCAGCCCCAAGACGAGAAGACCTGAGGCAGGAGCCCCAGCTGTGGTGTCAGGCGCCCCGGGGCCACACCACAGCGGGAGCGGGTACAGCACACCCGGGAGGCATGTCTGGGCCCGGTCGGCCACACGCTCCTCCCTGAGAGGTGGGGTGGTGAGCTCTGGCGGAATATGGCACCCGGGACCATTTCACAGGTGAGGAAACAGAGGCACAGAAGTAGGAAGAGGCAGGGCTGGCAGTGACCTGCAGGTGTCTCCTGCCAGCTCTCATCCTGTGCCTGCCTGCTCCATTCACACAGGTAGGAAACGAAGGAGACTGCCCTGCCTCAGCCCTTCAGAGCTGCCTCCTGGCAGAGGGGAAATCCAGACACTGGAGAGCCAAAGACTGCCACAGCCCACCTGAGGCCACCACACCAGACAGGTGTGCCCAGAGACAGGGCCCATGGGTGGGGTTCTGAGGACCTCTCAGCTGGGGATTGGGGGGTTTACAGTGACCCTAGGAGCCACAGCAAAGCTGCCCCAGTTCTCTGCTCCAGGTGGGGCGGCACATTCTCAGGCATCCACGGGCTCCAAGGCGCCCGCCCGGTGGGAGCGGGAGGCTAGCTCAGCCTGGTGCCCAGTGTGGGACGGGGGGCGGGGGGAGCTCAGTGACGCCCCTCACTGCAGCCCTGATCTCGGCCTGCTGGGTGGCAGCGATGGTCTCTTTCAGCCAGCAGGGACCTCAACAGCCAGCAGCCCCACCCAGTGCAGCCCCAGCCTGGAGAGCCGAGAAGGCCCCTCCTGCCTCCCACGCAGATTTCGCCTGGGCAACACACGGGAAGGTGAGGCGACAGGCCAGGTGGTGCAGGCTTCAGGCCCCAGCGGGGACGGCCCTCCAGGTACCAGAGACAACACGCCGGCCACTTCAGGGTCTACGACCCAGCCCGGCCACAGACACCCACCCGCACACCCAGCCACTCTCCAGACCTGAGAAACACATCTGTGGCCACGCTGTCCAAGAAGCTGAGTGGCCTAGGCCCAGAGGCCCAGCATGGGGGCCGAGGGAGCCCAGGTGGCAGAGCTGACATGGTGCAGCCTCCTGCTGGGTCCACATTTGTCCACCCAGCGCTGGACACTACTCTCGGGCCAACTCCTGGGGACGCTCGCCCCGGGCACTCAGTTCATGCTGTCTGCAGCGCCTGTGCCCTCATCTTACCCGGGTGGGCCAATCCAAGACTGAGGCCCCCTCCTCAGCCTGGGCAGCAGGTGCCCAGCGCCCTGCCTTCCCTGTTGCCCAGCACCCCGACAGCCAAGGGGCCTTGAAGCAGACTGAAACGCCAGAGAGCACAGGAGGGCGGACCGGATAGAGCGGCGGGCATGGTGGGCAGGAGGGAGGAGGCAGCGCTAACCACAGATTGGTGAGGAGCAAAGACGCATGCTGGGACCCAGGGAGCCTTTCCGGGGGGGCAAGAGTGGGCACCCCAATTTCGCTGAAGCTTTGGAGGGAGCCAGCAGCTACGAGAAGGATACGGGGAAAATCAATGGAGGTCCTTCCCAGGCTGGGCCTGCACAGCTGCTGCGTGGGAGAAGCCAATTCTTGCCAAACCAAAAAGATCAGGGTGGTGCCAGATGGAGCCCGTCACAGGCCACCCCTGAGACGGGGCCGGGGCTCACATGGGCAACTTTGGTCGGTTTGGGAGTTTTGTGAAATCTCAAATCCACAAGAGGAAGAAAACTATTGGAAGGACCCAGCTCTTTCCAGCTGAGACTGCAGAGCCCACAGCCCACTTCCTGTGCTGTTGTGGACCCTGCGTGTCCTGACCCCCTCCCGCCTATCTGACACCTGGAACCTCTCCTGGCCATGCAGGTGGGGCGTGGTACTGAAGCCTCCAGGGAGCAGGCCTGGGTCTGCACCTCCCGCCAGGCCCAGCAGGGAGGAGGTCCAGATCTGGGGCATCCTGGCAGGGCACTGCCTGTTTGTGTCCAGTAGGGCCAGCGGCCCATGACACCTAATGTCAGCCTAGTGACAGCCGGGAAACTAATCAGAACAAGTCCCTGCCATGTGCTGTGGGAACTGCCACCTGCCAGGGCCTCTCACACTACCCCCTCTTCCTGACGGAGGGGCCATAGAACCCCACGGTGCCTTCAGCTTCAGTCCTGGTGCCCCAAGGTCGAGACTTCTGGAAGCATCCATTGGCCTGGCCTAAGGGAGCCATCGTAAACTCTCAGAGAGCTGCAAGAGTTAAAACTCACTCTTCATGTCTGTGGCCTGTGCCACTGTGGCCAGTGCAGGCCCTGAATGTCTACTGCGAACTGCTGTGGCCAGAGCTTCCCTGCCCTGTCTTCCAGGATAATGAGCACAGGACCAGTGGCTGTCTTTGCTGAATCTGCCTGCAGGACAGCACCCTCAAGCCCAGGCCTCCCCGCAGCCTCAGTTTCACCTGCTGACCTTGGTCTCTCTTGCCTGCTTGGTGGACATGATGACCAGCTCCAAGCTGCAAAGGTTACATTCCATGGGGACAAGTGGGCCCTGTGCCGCATCTTGCCATGGAGACTGGGGAGGTCAGGATGGGCCCAGCCTCACTTCAGAGGGAGGCAGCAGAGGGGCCCCCAAGCCTGCTCCTGTCCCAAGTGGAGGGGCGCTGAGTGCACAAACGCCTCAGCTTTGGGCAGTGAGGATGAGGCTGGTCCCCAGGATAAGGGACAGACAGGGCTCAGAGCCCGGGCCTCACTCTCAGATGGCCCCGGGGCCTGCACAGGGACACACAGCCTCATGACCTAAACCACAGCCGCTGCTCAGGGCCCCCCTGCCTAGAAACAGCTCCCAGCTGCATGGCCCACCTGACACCGGCTGGGTGTCGCCTCCATGCCTGGACCCAGCTCTGCCCTGTGACAGGGACGTGGGGAGCCCCAGAGGCTCCCCAGCTTTGGTGAGAGGCTGGCCCTCAGCCTGCCCGGCCAGGAGGGCCCGGGGTCTCGCCCTGACACCCACGGTGCCCACAGCAGTGCTCCCGTGCAAAAGAGCTGGTTCCTTCCCAGCATGCGCTCCTCGACCTCACCAACCTTCCTACTACACTGAACAGGGGGGACCGGTCGTAAAACGGGTCCCGGCCGTCGCACAGCGCGCGCTCCAGAAAGACGTCGTCCTCCAGGTCCTCCTCCTCCTCCTCCTCCTCCTCCTCCTCCTCCTCCTCCTCCTCCTCCCCCACACTCTGCTCCTCGGCAGGCTCGGTGGCTTCGGAGTCGGAGTCGGGGCTCGAGGAGGTGGGGGAGGGGGTGAGAGCAGCCATGCGCTCGCTCATGCATGTGTTGAGAAGAGGGTAGCTGCTGCAGCCAGAGACGGCTGAACTGAGGTCAGTACGACAAGACAGAGAGAAGTTAGCACCAGCTACTCGCAGGAGGACGGGGCGGGTGGGCGGGGGCTTCTGTTTCCAAGCAAAACCAGACACGCACCACCGAGAACACTGCTTTAAAAGACAAGAGAACCAAAAATGTGCCCTGTCCCCAGGTCTGCCAAGAAATAAAAACACCCATGTGGGCAGCTGGCAGGAAGGCTCCAGAAGGTCCCGGAGGGCACCAACAGGCGTGACTGGAGCAGGGTCCTGGCCAGGCAGAGCAAGGCTGTGTAGGCCTTCCAGGGCTCAGCCACGCTGAGGTCTTAGAGCATCCAGCCATGTGGGGTCGGGGCTGGCGCAGGCCCCAGATAAGTGCAGAGAACAAGGCGGTGGGCTCTAAAGCCTCTAAGGTCTGGTGACACAGCCCTGTCTCCACAGTGCCAACCCCAAGGCCGCCAGGGACCTGGAACAGCTGCGCGGCCCCTGGCGCTTGGGAGCCCCACACACTCACACGCACACGTGGCCCCACAGGGGCGTGGGTGGTGGGGAGAAGACCCCCTCAGGACCCCGAAGAGAGGGGCCTGTGGGCGTGGGGGGGGAGCCCGAGGGGCCGCTCCACGTCCCACTGCCTCTCTGTGCTGGGGAAGGGGAGGCACCCACCTGCCCACCAGTCGGAACCAGGGGAAGCGGTCGTAGAAAGGGTCCCCGCCGGTCACCACGTTCTCGCAGTCCTCGACGGCGCTGGAAGGCACCTCTGCTGCCCTGTCGTACATCTCTCGCATCAGGTCCAGGCGCTGCCTGCAGGGCACAAGGACAGCACGGGCTCAGGGCAGCCGCAGCCTTGGCTCCTCCCCTTCCGGCAGCGGCCACAGCTGTGTCCACACCGTCCTGCTGCGTCGTCACCGGGCTCAGGGCTCTGCTGCACGGAACCCCCCACGGCCCTGGAAACCAGTCAAGCGGAGCTCCCCTCGGCTGAACACACGCTTCACCGCCAGGTCCACCCAAGCCTGCCCAGGCGACAGCGGCTGGGAAGTGAACGGGGGAGGGAGGGGGACTCAACTGAAGCCTGAATGGGGGTCACACCTGGAGCCCCACAAGCTCAAGGCAGTGAGAGCATGCAGAAGATGAGAAAACACTTTCCAAGTTCTCGTTCCCCAGGGAAGGCAAACTGCTGGGGATGAAATCCCTGGGCCCCGAGGGCCTGTGCTGAACAGGGCCTCACAAACTGGACGCAGGTGGCTGTCTGTCCTTCTGGGAGCCAAACCGTACCTGCCTGAGAGGGTGGCAGGAGTGTGAGTGTGCGCGCGGTGTGTGTGTGTGTGTGTGTGTGTGTGTGTGTGAACAGTATTTCTGGCTTTCCAATCTCTGATGTTCTGACATCTTCGGGGCCTTGCTGGCTGGGGAGAGCCCTGCCCAGTCCATCTGGCTCCTACAGACAGCCGGCCTGTTGGTCCCCAACCTCCCACGCCCAGCCAGCCAGGGCAAACCGGTGGCTGGGTCAGCGCTGACCCTGAGAAAAGGCCTGGCCTCCGGTCCCACACTGGCCACAGGGTGGGCTGTGCCTCCTGTGTCCTGGGCGGTGTGACACCAGCCCTCCTCCCTGGGGTTTGCCCCACATCCTCACGTGCCTGGCTGAGCTACGGGAAGGGCTCCCGAATCTCAGGAGCATGGGGCTCCCTCCAGGTGCACCCCTTTCTCTTCCACCCCCCACTGGGCACGCAGTGCACAGGAGAGGGCTGGGGTGGAGTGGGTGCTCCTTCCGGTGCTCGAGGCCCTGCACCAGCTGGCTCTGGTGATGCCAGTCAGCCTCCAGCCTCACCCCCAGGCCCCGCTGTGGTGCCAGGATGCTGCCCCTGCCCGGCAGCACATTCTCATTCTGGGCCTGGGCATCTTCACCCGTGAGAGAACCCAAAAATGTACTGCTGTGTCCGACCATACCACTGGTAGGGGAGTGATCCCATGAGGCTGGACCCTATTCCTTTTTCCTTCTCATTTAAAAGAACGCCATCGTCAGAAACAGTGACACCTGCAGGTGCCCACACTGCCAGGAGCCCCACCCAGCTGTCCCTGTCCATCCACCTCCCTGCCCGCCAGCCACACCTGAGCTTCTCCAGCGTCCAGTAGTGAGTGGCCCCGTTCTTTTGGTCCTGGACTTCCACGGCCACTATGGTGCGGGGGAAGGGGCGAGTCTCTCGGTCCTTGGCGGCCTCCGGGGGCAGCAGATCCGGTGGCAGTGGGGAGTAGAGAGTGTCCGTGAGGAGGACAAACTGGAACTGGACCTGCGACGGGCAGTGACTCTCGTCAGCCCCTTGGTGGCCAGGGCCAGGTCTCAGGAGAGGCTTCGATCCCACCTCCCAGAGGCCTGGGCCATGTGCCCCATCCGTCCCAGCACCTTCCCACTGGCCACCGAAGGGATTGCACCCCACCTGGCACCTGGCCCCCTGCCCTGAGCAGAGGGCCAGGCATCCAATCCTGCCAGCTCCAGGGTCCCCTGGGTCAGACAGGGGCCCCGTGCTGCAGCCTGACTGTGGGCAGCAACCCTACACACACGGGCTGAGGCCCTGTCTCTGATAGGAGGCCACAGGCCAGCCAGGCCCCCACCTTCTTCTTCAGCTCCACGCTGATGGCGTTGGCCTCCTTGAGGAAGATGGCATTGCCCCACAGCAGGTCCCGCAGGGACGTGAACTGGTACCACTTCCACTTTCGGAAAGCCCACAGCGCTAGCTCACACTCCCGCTCTGTCCACTGGACTGTGGGGGAGGCCACCGGTCAGCAGGGCCAAGCCACAGCCTGACACCGAGCCCACCCCACACCTGTCCCGAAGGCCACGTCGGCTGGCCCTACACCCCACGGGCAGGGTGCAAGGTGAAGCATGGAGCCCGAAGGAGGGTGGGGGGCAGCTGGCCAGAGGGAGGCCTGGCTCGGGGCTCCACCCGCTCTGAGGCTATGCACTCCTCCCTTGCTGGGCCTGGACTTTGTGTTCGGGGCCTCAAAGTCACACCGACCATTCTCAGTGCAGAGGAGAAAGCACCAGGAAAGGCCTGCCGAGCTGTGGACAGGCCCCAGTGCAGGCGGGCTGCGGGCTTGGGAGCGGATGAGGGGCTGGCCAAGCTCTCCCTATCGCAGGTCCTCTGTCGAGCGCCCTCAGTGGGAGGCCATGGGAGGTGCAGTGGACTCATCTGGTCTCACAGGGCGTACCCCTGCCAGCTCCCCCATGGTCCCAGCCCCCTGCCAGTGCCAGCGTGTGTGCACACATGAACGTGTGTGTGTGTGTGTGTGTGTGTGTGCGCGCGTGCTTGCAGCACAGCCCTTGGAATCCCACCCTGCAGTGCTCCCAAAGTCGGAGGCCCTTCACCTTCATCCTCCAGCTCCTCCTCTTCCTCCTCGGCCACCTCCGGGTAGTACCTGGACTCCATCTGCTTCTGCAGCGCCTCCAGCTTGCTCTCATAGTCCTGCAGAGAGGCAAGGCCTGGGATCCCTACACCATGGAGACCCAGGTGGCCTCACCCGTCCTGCCAGGTGCCTGATGGGAGAATGGGTGGCAGGGCTGGGGTCCCAGTGAGCAGGGCCCAGGGTGGCCAGGCGTCCTCACCAGCCTCTGCTGCTCCAGCAGGTAGGTGGCCTCCTCACGTTCCCGGCGGTACTGGTCCTCCAGCTCCTGGAGCCTGTGGGCCACAGTGGGTGAGCCAGGGTGGGTGGGTTGAGGGGTGTGTGGGCAAGCGGGTGGCCCAGGGCTCACCTCTGCTCCATCTCCTGCTTCATGTCAATGCCCTGCTTCTCCAGCAGCTCACGCTGCGCAAAGGCCCAGTCCACAGGCTCAGCGGGCGTCTCCGCACAGGGTGTGCGCTCGCGCTCCTGCCGGGCCTGCTCGGGGTGGTTGAACCGGAACACGTGGCTCTTACCCATGATGATACGGTTCCCTGGGGAGGGAGGCAAAGCCTGCCTTGGGGTCCTGAGAGTCCCAGAAGGGCTCCAGGGGGTTAGGAGAAGGGGAGAGGGGTGCAGGGGCTTCCTCCACACCCTCCGCAGATGACCTGAGGGGGCTGCTTGGCCAGAGCTTGCCCTGGCCGGCTGTGCCCCTCCAGACTCGGTGGGGACACTGCACAGTGCCAGTCTCTCTCCCGAGTCCAGCCCTCCCCTCGGGCCCACCTGTCTGCAGGACCCAGGGGACAGACTGACCCGCAGGGTGGTGCCTGCTCTTTGCCCAGTCCTGCCTGGCTCTCTGGCTGGCTTTATTCCCCACTCCCACCCCAGCCTGGGGTCAGCACACGGCTGGTCCTTGGGCTCAAGCACTCAGAGGAAAATCCAAGCCGAGGCCACCCCCGAGCCTTGGCATCCCCACGGCTGGCAAGGTGACCCTCAGATTCAGGTGTTCCCTGGGTCCTTCCACCAAAATGGCCCTAGAATGCAAAGGCAGGACAGTCCTGAGAGCCCCTGCTAAAGCCAAAGGGCCTTCCGGGGCCACAGGCTGGAAATCGGGCAGTGATGTTGCCTCCCTGCCTCCTCACCACCACAGCAGCTAGAAGGGTCCTGCCAGTTCCCAGCCAAGAACTCGTGCCTGGCCACAGGTGATGCTGCGGGAACTCCACCTGCCAGCTTGGCCAGGCGGCACCACCTCTGGTGCCACCTGGTCTAGCTCTGCTGTGGCCGCTGTCCAGGTGATCAACACCTGCAGCAGCTGACAATGGTGGGCACAGTGTTCGACCCGCAAACTGAGTCCTCCCCAGCCCACAGACTCCGTCCTGCCGGCAATCCCCACCCTCAAGTAAACCAGTTCTTTGACACAGATCTTATCTGTGTGTGTAACGACACTCATCAGCCTGCACCTCTGGACCTATGCGTCTGCGTCAGTGCTCCCCAGCCCACAGCTCTACGCCTCTGGGCCCAGGGACCAGGATTCACCAGCCTGCAGCTGTGCCCCGCTGCTCCTGGTCTCTGTAGAGCCAGCACTAGGAAGCCTCGGCCACGCAGCACAGCCTCGTATGCGTCTCTGTGGCTTTCCTAAGCAGAGATCTCGCACCGGGTGCCTGGGGTGTACATCGCAGCCCTTGGTGCCGGGGGAAGCCACACTCTGTTCTGCTACACCTCTTGGCCCAGCATCTGTGCCCTGCCCCTCCCCAGAGCCCAGCCCTGTGCAGCAGCCACTCTGAGCCACTGGAGCAGGCCATGGCCCTAGGGGCTTCACAGGCAACAGGGTGACTCAGGCCTAGGGACAGCGGCTTCGCCAGATGCCCGTCTGCCTCAAAGTCTCCACACGCCTGTGTACCTGACCGCAGGATGCTGGGCTCCATCACTTTTTTGCCGTTGACGTACGTATCTGCACCCTCACAGGGCTCCAGGGTCACCACAGCTATCGGAAGAGAAGCAGGGGACGGTGAGGGGTTGTCCCTGCAGAGCTCAGCTTGCCTGGACCCAGGGTGCCTCCAAGGTTCCCCCACTCCTGCTGGATGCACAGCCTGGCCACCAGCAGGAGCCCATCTGGGCCCTGGAGGAGCCAGGGTGGGGGTCTCGCCCAATAACACCGGGGGGGAAAGTGACCCTGGCAGGTCTCGGGCAGGGAGGCTGGGCTGGGCTGGGCTGGTGCCCCGGGCCCCATCCAGAACTCCAGGTGGACGAGGTAAGAAACACTGGTGAGGGTGTCTTGGAGGGAACCGGGCTGCAGACAGGAGCACTCTGGAGGAGACAGCTGTCCCCACGCTCCTGAGGGCCACTATCCTCAGGTGGCCAAGGTGGACAGTGGGCTGGGGTCAGATCTGCAGGCCAGAGGCTGGCTGGGCATGTGCCTGGAGAGGCCTGAGCTCAGGGCCCTGGGATGGTGACCGCTCAGCAGTGCCAGGGCCCACACCAAGCAAGGCAGTGTCACCCTCTGGAGGGAGGCGGGGCAGGCAGTAAGATGGACCGATGGCTGCTCCACAGCCAACAGGAAAGTGCCATCCCAGAACAGCTTCCTACCCCAGAGCCCCGCTCCCTCCCTGCCCAGGGGCGCCACACGCACTTCCGGACACACGCTTCCTGTGCCCTGGCCCTCAGCTTTCACAGAGGCTGTAGAGACTCCGGGCCCTTCCCCGGGCACTTCCAACCCCAGTGTCACACACACACGCCATGCACGCCCGGCACCCTGGCCCGAGCACACCCTGAGACCCACGCAGAGCTGGGACTAGTAGATGGGGTGGGGCTGCGGCTGAGCTACCTTCGCTGCCTGCCCGCGTGTCGCTCCGGAAGACACAGTGCTCCTCCTTGATGAAGTGCCCGCTCAGGACGATGTCCTGCCGCCTCTCTGCGTCCTCCCTGCCCACTCTGAGGGGAGGAAGGTGTCAGCAGCGCTGCCCCGGGGGCCCGGTGGGACCTCTTGAGAAACACCCAGGGTGTGTGGAGATGTGAGGGAGCCCAGACCCAGGGGACCCAGGGGACCCAGAGGCCACGGCCTTGCTCTGGAAGGGCACACGGCAGGCAGTAGCTCTTGGTGGGCAGCGAGGGCATCTCCGCCACCCCCGCCCCTCGCCTGCTGGCCTGGAGGAGCGGCTTTGTCCCACCTGGTGATCCCGTCCTTGATGTAGTAGAGGAGGCACTCGGACATCAGCGGGTCCTCGTTCAGGTTGACCAGATGCGGCGTCTGGGGGGACAGGGGGTCAGCTCTGCCCACCCGCCTGACCTCGTCCCAGTCCCGGGCCACCACCAGTCCAGTCCCAGGCCTGGCTTCTCACAACAGCGTCCTCCCTGCCTGGCCAAGTCGACGGGAGACAGGAAAGGAACAGCCCTGCCAGGAAGAGCCTTTGGACCCAGGGCTCTGCACGTGCCCGCCCAAGGAGCAGGCTCACCAGGCGCTGGCTCCAAGCAGCCTGCACCCAGGCCCAGCCACCCTGCTGGCAGGGCTCCTGCGCACACCAGGCAGGGCTGCCACAGCCCTGGGGCACAGGCCCGCACAGCTTGGGTCTGCAGCCCGGGCCTGCTGGCCAGTCTCATCCCAGCCTTGGGGGACCCTGTCCACACGTCACACCTCACCCCATCTGATGTCCCAAAGCCAGCCAGACCTCCTACTGTGAGGACCAGGGGCGGAGTCTCCCTTGCACAGGAAGTCTGGTTGCAAGGGAAGGAGCCCACCCGATGCCTGGCCAGAGCCCTGCCCCATTCCCTTCCTCCCGGCCCCTGACAGCCACCAGGGGCAGTGTGCCCAGAGGCAGTGTCCTGTTCCTGTCAGGGCAGCACCACGGCCCAGGCCCAGCTCCTACCTTTTTGGGAGAGAACACGCCCAGGGTGCCTCCGTCCTCCCGCATGGCCACGCCCATCTCAGCCAGCAGCGCTTCCCTGGGGACAGTAGGGGTCGGCAGGGCTCCGGCACTGGCCTCAGCCCTGCCTGACCGACTGCCTGGGCACCAGGGGGTGGTGACTCTCAGCCTCTTGCCTGGTCGGCCAGCTGTGGCAGCCCCAGGGGGTCATACCCCCACACTCCGCCGACCAGGGGCAGTCCTGCCAGGCCTCTAGGGCAGCGCCACATGGGGCCAGAGAAGGCAGTGGGACCTGAGGCATGGACGCAGCCAATCCAGGAGGCATCCTGCCTGGGCTTCAAACTCCTGGGCTATTCCAGGCCTGTTTCCCTACCAACACTCACCTCTCCATCCGGATGGCTTCTGTCCGACGAAGCTTCTCTTCCCAGGTCTCATTGAGCTCGGCAATGATCTTCTCGGTCTCCTGGGGAGCAAAATGGAGTACAGTGAGGTCCCGGGTGGGGGGTGAAGTGGGGACAGAGGTGTGAGTGCCAGGAAAGGGGCTGCAGACAGCTGGGCCCATCTGGGAGCTGAGACTGAGAGATCAAGGTGATGTCCAAGGACGTGGATCTCACCTGCAGACACCTGAGGACGGGGAAGGCAAAACAAGTCAGGAGGGGAGGAGAGACCCGCACCCCGGAAGACGCTGGTGGTGGGGGCTTCTCTGAGCACTGCTGTCCCCTTTCAGGCCCCGGCCCACGTCTCAGCATAGGGACCATCTGTGTCCTTCCCATTCACATCCAGGGCCCCCCACGCACCCTACGTGGCCCACCCACACCGCAGTGTTCCCCGATCCCTCGTCACTCGGGCCACCTCTCCCGCCAGCCTTGGGCTGGGGCTCTGGGCCCTCCCCTGGGTCTCGCCCCCTCCTGCTCAGTCCTCACTGCGTAGCCACTCGATGACAGCCTGCCACACCTGGTGCTGGGGACCAGGGCACCCCCTTCTCAGCGAGTGCAGCCATGTGGGAGCACACAAGAGTGCTGTGGACGGGCTGCTGGGGCTGCAGGGGAACCCACTCTGCACCCGGGACACCGTGTGGCCCACTTCCGTGAATAAGCACCAGCTGGTGCAATGAACCAACTGTCTCAGCCTGGACATCCTGCCCCGGGGCCGCACGTCCAGGCTCCCAGGCCCGGGGCCCTCCCGGGCACTATCTGCCCAGCAGTTCATCTGCCCATGGGACAGATGTCCTGCAGCCCGACATGTGGACAGGCAAACGATGGGCTGAGGACGGGCCACATGCCAGACACTCCTCCAGCTGCATCCCCTGGCCCTGTGCAGACTGACTGCGTCCGGGGGGGCGAGGTCTGGCCTGACTTCCGGGGTGGAGGCCTCTCTCCTCTAAGCTCACCCCCCTCAGCGCCCGGCACCCCACACACCACAGCACCCTGTCCACCTGGCCCTCACCTTCAGCCTTTCAATGGCCTCCTCACTGCCTGGGGCAAACAGGATGCGCTCGTGAAGGCTAGACACGGAGGCCGCACGGCTAGACAGGGCTGAGAGCGAGGACGAGGGGCTCATGCCCACCAGGGCATTGGTCACTGTGGAGAGAGGGTCAGGGGCTGGACTCAGGGCGGCCTCACCGAGGTTAAGGTTATTGTTCTCAAGGTCGGACAGGTCTAAGGCAGGTGAGGTGGACAGACAGGCGGGAGAGAGAGAGAAGAGAGACACAGTTGGGCAAAGGACAGGTGTGGACCAAGAGAAGGCCAGAAACGCAAACCGGCAGCAGCCTGGCCAGGGCCAGGACAAGCGCATGCAGGGCCTTGCTGTCCCTCACCCTCGGGAATCAGGCCCTCGACCACACTCAATCCCTGCAGCAGCACCCATGGACTCTCTGCACCCTGTGGGCTCCACTCTGCCCTCCCCTGTCCTGGGACCTCCATCTGCAGTGTGCCGGCCGCTCGCAGCTGGGCACCCAAGGGCCTGGAGCTCACAGCATCTCCCAGGCCTTTGTTCTTTCTGCATCCCAGACCCCGCTGTCCCCCTACACCCTCTGAGGTTCAGGGTGGGGCTGCACTAACTATCCGGCCACATGAGCAGACTGGCCCAGAGACCACGTGGAGGAGGAGGGGAGCGGAAGACCTCTGAAGGCGAGGGCGCACCCTGTCCTCACCACCCCGGCCGTGCACCGCGAGGGCGCCCAGCCCCTCCCCCGCAGAAGCAGACACAGAGCAGCAGCCAGCACAGGGCAGCGCCGGGCCTCGGGAGCCAGGGAGCTAGGCAGGACTTGGCAGCACCACTGGGGGCACCCAGACCCTGGTGTGTGCAGACCAGGCCTGGGCGTGGGGCCGCTGGAGAGGTGGCCAGCAGAAGAGGCCTGAGGTAGCAGCCCAGTGCGCGGGCCCTCAGACACCGGCACCCTGACCTTCCCAGGTTACAGGTCTGACTCAGCCACTGTGGGCTGGGAAGGGCCAAAGCGGACCCCATCGTCCTGTGCCTCAGTTTCCCCCACGGATGGGATGAACCCAGAGTGGGGTCACCCATGCCACAGCTCCAAGGAGGGAGCCCAGGACCCCACCCAGCCCGCGCTGCCCTGTGCCCCTGCAGCCAGGCAAAAGCCGTGCGGAGCAGCAGTGGGGAATACACACATTTGGGTCCTCCGGGCACAGTGTTGGCTACAGGGAGGGCAGGCGTGGGGAGAGAGACAGAAACAGAAGAGCAGGCTTGGGTCCAGAGGGTCCTCGCACCCGGCTCTCGGGCGGGTGGCAACAGATAGGTGGCAGGGGTCTTCAGCGTGGGGACAGGGCCCCCAACCCCCAGCACCCATGCCTGCCTTGGGGCCAGCTCCAAACCCGGGCCATGCAGTTCCATCCAGGCCAAGGCCAGAACACTCACCCTCCCACCCATAGGAGGCTCCGCCCAGGAACCAGGGCAGAGACCTGGAACTCCCACTCTGCCTCCCGCAGCCCTGGTCACAGTTGGCAGGCCAGGGCCTGGAGAGGGTGTGACACCCACGGCCACGCCGAGGACGCGACCAGCGAAGACACTCACTCTCCGTGATGTCACCGAGACCCTGGGCGTAGAGCAGGTCCCGAAGCCGGGTCACCTCATCCTTCAGCTCTCGGATCAGCTTGTTGTTGGGGTCCTCGTTGATGACGGCATTACAGCGGATCTGCTTGGCGCGGTCAGCGTACCTGGGCAGCCACGGGAGGTGTGGGCTGAGGGCAGGTCTGTGCCCGGGCCCCAGCATGCCCAGAGCCCAGCCTGGCACTGTGAGAAATCACCCCGACACAGCCACTGTGGATGGCCGCTGAGACCACTGACCAGGGAGGACTTCCGGAGGGGCCACCCAACCCGCCTCACTGGTACACTCCAGGAGACTGAGGCCCAGGTATGTGCAGACATGAGACATGCACCCAGAGAGGCCACTGAGCCCAACAGCTACGCATCTGCCTGTCCCCACCCAGGGTCCCCAAGCCCCACCCATTCCTCCTCAGCCCCCCCAAAAGTCCCTGCTCCCATGGCCAGCAGCACAGCTCTCCACCCCGGTCCCACAGGGCGCTGGGCCACCTCAGTCCCAGAGGGCACCCAAAGGGTGGTGGGGACAGAATGGCCCATGAAGCTTGGGAGCCCCACAACGTCACCTCCAGCCTCAGGGTACTGGTGAACCCCCAGAGGCAGCCCCCCCAGCCTGCCCACTCCCTTCCTCGGGGTGTACAGGGTCCCCGCAGAACACACCTCAGCGTGCTGAGGGTCTCATCGTAGTTGATATCTGCAGGACTCAGGGCTGCCACCATAGCCGTCCTCGAGTTGCCACCTGTGGGAAGACCACCAGCCTGTGCCGGGGGAGCACCCAGCCTCGGCTCTGGGTCTCCTCACCTCCATCCTACCTGCACTCAGAGTCGGGACTCTGAGCCCAGAGAGGAAACTGAGTCACAGGCCACCCAGGGGACAGACAGCAGCGGGGCTGCCTTCCCTGGCCGCCCCTCAGGGCGCCTCCGTCATTTCCCCTCTGCGTTTGTTCCCCTCACATCTGAGACCACCCCTTCCCTGCAGCAAAGCAGCAAACCCTGGAGGGTTTCATGGAATTTCCCCCAGGACAAAGGCCACTCTGCTTCATACGGCTCCACGCGCCTCCGTCCCTCATCGGAACGTCTTTCTCAGCACTTAACGCCAGCTTCCTGGCCCAGGAGCTGCGCTGTGGGGACACCGATGTCTTCACTTCTCTCTGGAGCAGTGGCAGTCCCCATAGGGTCCCCGCTGAGCCCACCCTGGCCCTCAGGAGCCACCTGAGAGCCCCAAGTTGGGACAGCTGGTTTGCCTGCTCCATCTCCAGGCCCTGTGTCCTCGGGCCCGGGCCCCTGGGGCGTGGCTCCCTGTGAGTCCCTGCAGGGACTGTGAGCTGACAGTGTGAAGGGCCTGGGCAGGACCAAACAGGTGCCAAGGTGGGTTCTATGGGGGTCTCTCCCTGTCCCCACCCTGGGGGGAGGCCTCTCCCCAGGCCGCTTCTCAGGGAAAGAAAGGGGCACACGTTCCTGTGACTCCACTGTCCCTTCTCGGTGGGCACGTGGCCTGGGAGCCTCCTCTTGTGAGGCCCACGTGGGGACTGGCCTGGCTGGGTGCGGGGTGCAGTCATTCGGCCAAGAGGTCGGGGACCCCCAGGCGTTCAGCCTGGGCCTCAGCTGTGCATCGGCCTCTGCAGCTCTAACCGGAAAGGGAGCACCCTGAGGACCCTGGGGAGGGGCGGGGTCCAAGGAAGGCACTGGGCCCAGTTTAGTCCTCAGCTCCCTGTCTATCGCAGTGTCCAGAACCAGGCGAGGAGGGGACTACAGCAGCCCCTCGAAACCCAGTGGGCAAGTGGGGCTCTCCGGAGCCATGGAGCCCCAGGTCCCCTGCTGCTGGTGGGGACACGAGAGCCAGAGAAGGTTGGGCATGTACTCTGCATGTCACGCCGCCCTCACAAAGAAGAGCTGGGCCCAGGTGTGTGCAGACAGTGCTGGCCAGAAAGTGTGGGGTTCCCTGCACTGGGCACCCCCAGGCAGGAAGATGGACCCTGAGACAGGTGGGCCTCTAGTCTCACCCAGGTTTTCCCGGAGCAGCCAGGTCAGCACAGAGTCTCGGTAGGGGATGAAATCCGTCTTCTTCTTCTTCTTGTTCTGTGGGGACAGCCAAGGAAGGTCAGCCTGTCCTGCCGGAGGGCTGGGCGGGGCCGGGAGGGGCCAGCTAGCCTGCCTTTCCTCACCCTGGACCCCAGGGCGCCACCCACTGCTGGGCCTCCACTCTGGGCTGGAGTCAGGGACGCGCTGGCCACCTGTTTCCTCCCTCACCTGCGAGCTGCGCCACGCTCAGCAGTGCTGGTGTCACAGCCAGCACAGCCCCTCTGCTGTGGGGGGACCGAGCGGAGCCCATCACCCCCACCTTGAGCCCATCAGCTGCTTCTCTTGACCAAAGGGAAAAGGCCCAGCAGGAGTGCGGCGCCCAGGCCCTTGGCTCTGCCAGCGCCTCCAGCCCTCTCCCCTTCCACACCGAGTCTGTCCGCCCTCTGGCCTCAATGCCTCCCTAGCAGTCTGTCCCCACCGCTGCCCTTGGCACGAGCACCCCTTCCGCCTGTCCCCTCCGTGGCCCTGTATTCCTTCTAACTGCAAATAGGGATGCCATGCCAGGTAACGGCTGCCAGGATGCTTCCTCCGCACACTCAGGACGAGCCCGACTCCACTCACCGTGGACGTCGGTCACTTTGATGTGTGCACACCTACGGCCAGCAGACGTGGCCCCTGCAGGAGCCCACAGTGGGGAGGCCACACAGCACCACATCCAGGTGGCTCTGAGCACGAACAGATGCGTCCTTGTTCTCTGGGGTGATCCCAGGAGCCCCTCCTGTTCACAGGGGGCATCAAGTCCCACAAGCTCGTGACACTGTCAAAGGGCTGTCGCCAGTGCCGCACTGGCTTCTCTGTGAGCAGGGCTCTGGGGGCCCGGCTCCTGCATGTTCAGTGCTTTCTGTTTTTCTCTTGGAAGTTGGTAGGGGAAAAACTGCTTCTACTTTGCACTTTGACTATTTAGTTTCTGAGGGTGACTCTGCCTGTGTCGTGTTCTTGTTTCCACAGCGAATGCCCTGCACACTCAGCCCCGTCGGTAAGGGTTCAGTGTCTGCCCTAGTGCCTCTCATTCTGCCTGCAACCCCCAGAACCACCCAGTGCCCCCTTCCCTACCCTCCCAGCCTCCACTGCCGCCCTGGCTCTCCGTTCCGACTGCCTCCTGGCCACCTCAGTCCCCGTCTCCTCCTCATGCGGCACCCAAGCACCTTTAAGCTCAGATTGGCCTCTCGGAGCACTGCTCAGCCCCATCCTCTGCTTCTTGTTAAACCGCCCTCAGCAGCGGCCCTAGGCCATGCACCCCGGATCACCTTCTGGCCCTGTCCCATCGCCTACGTGCCCCAGGCCTCCTGTGCCCTTCCTCCAACAGCTCACACAGCTTTCAAAGCCCAAAGGCAGCTGCTGCCGCAGCCCCTCACAGGGCACCCACGTCTCCCATGTCGCCCCCAGCCCTAAGCAGCCCTCACTGTCCCGCAGTGCTCCCGGAGTTCCCCACACGGCTCCCCAACTCCACACTGGCCTCTCAGCCCCTCACAGGTGCCCCTGGCCATCATGTGGCTGCGCTTCTCCATCTTCCCACACCACCTCTCGAGTTTCCCCAGATGTCCTCACCTCGTTCCCTTCCCCCTCCTCACAGCGCCCCAAGTGCCTCCTACAGCTCCCTAAACTTTGTCACCGTTCGTCACCACACCTCCGCCACAGACCGCACGCAGTTCCCTGCACCGTCCTCCCCGTGACCTTCGCTCCCTTCCACTCCGACGCAGTTCTCTGCGGAGTGACACGGCCCGTCTTTCCCGTGGCTGCGCCCGCACCCTCCCGGAGCGTGTCCTGCATTCCCGTGTCCTGCACACAGTCCCTCACTCGGCTCTCTCCGCTCCCCGGTGCTCACCCGTCTTCACCGTGCTGCGCACGCCGCAGCCCACACACGGCCCCGTGTGGCAGCTCAGGCTCCCACAGCTGCGCACCTGGCTCCTCACAGTCGCTCCCAGTTCCTGCACCGCCGCAGCACTGCACACCTCTCACGGCTCCAAGCCCACTCAGCTCCTGACAGCACCCGACGTCCCACACAGCTCCGTGCACGGTTCTCAGCCTTCGTCCCCACGCCCACAGGTCCTCACGGGCCGTGCTCCTCCCGGCTCCAACAGCCCACCACGGCTCTTCAGCACTGCCCCGGGCCGCTCACAGGTCCGCAGACACGAACCCTCCACGGGCTTTCCTCACCGCCCCCCCACGGCTCACCAGCCCACGCTCACTCGGCCCTGACTCCCTCGCACCGTCCTCCCAGGCCGGGGCCGCATCAGCTGGCTGGCGCGGGCTCCCCACATTCCCGCCACGCAGCTCCTCCTCCCCCAGGCCTCTCCACGCATCTCTCGCGCAGTTCCCCTCGTGCTTCCTCACACTCCCCAGTCTACCAGTGCTGCAGCTGCCCAGCTTCCCACTTCCCTCTCACGTCCCGCTTCCCCCTGCTCCTCACACACGTCCCGGTCTACCACAGTGCTGCACAGCCGTCCACAGGCCCCGAATCCCTCTCGTGCAACTCCCACTTCCCAGGGCTCTTCACACACCACCCAGAATGCTCCTCACACAGCCCTACACACCTCCACGCACCTCCATGCACACTTCTTGTTTCTTCTGCAGCTCCCCACATGTACCAGCTCTCCCACCACCACACAGCACATCAGCTCTTCCAGCACACGGAAGAGCTGCCCAGCCGCTGCCCCTGCCTGGCCGGCTCCCGTCCACTCTCAGGTCTTCGCTGGAGGCCACCTCCTCTACAAAGCCTTCCCATCTACTCAGACTGTCTCACTTATGGTCACGTTGGTAACCGTTTTTTCCTCACAGAATCCATTCCGATTTGTAGCTGTGTGTTTCCCTTCTCCGTTCCATGTCTGCTGTCTACGCTATCCCCACACCTGCACTGAGGAAACAGAAGACTGCACCGTCCCCAGAGCAAGCTCAGCACTGGGGGACTGGGCCGAGGGGACCCTCTCCCTGCCCTCTCCCTCAGGATTAAACGAAGCAGCTCACCTTATTGGGTCCAGAGTCCTGAAAACAAAAGGACAGAGAGAGTCTGAGGCCTTGCAGTGAGTCGGGCCCAGGGTATGGGGTGGGGGATAACAAGCTGGCTCAAAAAGACAGGAGAGTGCAGAGGCCTGGGCATGTGCCAGGTGTCCACCACTCACCGCCCAGCCGTGCTGGCCACCCTCAGCCCGTCCTTGAGGCGGGTCAAATGACAGTGTAACCTCTCAGGCTGCTGTCATCCCGCACCCCCAAACCCCAGAGTTTCAGAGCAGGGGGGCTGCAGAGCGTCATCCCTTCCTGGCCTGCAGCCTGGCGTCGTGTTCCATGGCAATGCCGCCTGTCCTCCAGGCCCATCTTGCCCAACCCTCCCTCTGAGGACTGCGCCCCTGCAAGGGGGCCTGGACTGGGCCAGTGAAAGTCAGAGCCGACCACACACTGCTCACCATGGCCCATGGCGACCTTCAAAAGAGCCTCATGAGGAAGGCGCGCATCTTCATTTTACAGGTGGGGAAACTGAGGTTTCAGGGAGTACAGACCACTACTCCACCTTGAGCCTCACGATGCTCCCTTCGGCAGGCTTTCCTGTGCACCCAGCCCCCTCACCAGAGATGGTGCCTGGGACCAGGGATGACAGGCCCTGGCATCTTCCTCGGAGAGGAAAGGCCTCCTCCCCAGTCCAGCCCACCAACCCTGCTCTAGAGGCCTGAGCCTACGCACCATTTCTGCCAGGGCGGAGATGACTTTCCCCAGTGTGGTCAAGGACTTGTTGATGTTGGCGCCCTCCTGTATGTGGAAAGGGTGGTCAAGGTCAGGAGGCATCAGGAGGCATCAGGGCCCTCTGGCTCAGTGTGGTCTCCTGGGCCCACCCAGCACGTCTCTTCGGCTCCGTGGGCATCCTAGCAACACGGTGCCAGTCCCCATCTAGTGCAACTTCCAGTGCTCCTTCCCAGCCACAGGGCACAGCAGGGACCAAAGACAGGTACAGGAAACTGAAACTGCCCCTTCCTGTTCCCAGGGGGGACACTGGCCAGCTGGAGGCCTGCATTCCTTCTGGGCCGTGTGAGGCCGGGGAGGGCCCTGCAGGGGGAGTGTCCGGCCAGGCCTTGGTCCTTATTCACCTTAGCCAGTGCCCCTGCCCTCCCTGCTCGGGCTTGCTCTCACACATGGCCTGGCCACTCCAGCCCGAGCACTGCCCCCTGCTCAGCCCACCCTGGCCTCACCAGCAGCCCACGTTCAGGAGGGGCCTGGTGCCCAACCCTACCTTGAGGCGTGTGCCCTTGGCCCCGGTGGAGTCAGCCCGCTCGCTGCCAGCCAGGTCCACCAGGCTGATCTTGCTCACCTGGAAAGGCAGATGCACGAGGCTGCTGCAGGGTGTCCTGGTCCCTCAGGGACAGCCGCAGAGGCCACTGTGCAGCCACAGCCAGGCCCCTCCTCTAGAGTCTATCTCTTACCATTCTTTCTGTGCCAAATGCCATGCACTTTCACACCTGGCCGCTGCTCATGTAACAGGACAGGACTCTGCATGCGCCCGTGCTGTGTGACCTGTTACTACCGCCCCTTCCACAGACGGCTCTCCAGAGGGCCTGGCTACTGCCCGGCTGCCCCAAGGACCCGCAGAGGTGGCCATGTGCACCCTGGGAGGCTCAGCCCCTCCAAGCCAAGGGACATTGAACAGGCCATGGACATAGTGGGACCCCAGGGGTCCCAGCTGACCTGGCTCCAGCTGGCCACTCCCCAGTGGCCCCCAGGCCCTCCCCAGTCTTCCTGAACCTCCCCTCCTTGCTCACGGGGACACAGTCAGGACGATGGCACCAGGCTGAGGTGGCTGGGACCGCACCCGCCCACAGTGCAGATCCCAGGTGCAGCCCAGGGAGCTTCCACCCTGGAAGGTGGACGAGAGGACAGCGTGAACCCCATCACCCCTGGCTTGTGGGGGTGGGAGAAGAGAGCGACAGAGAGGCATGGCCACAGACAAGAGGCTCAGTGCCCCTGTGCTGACCCTTTGAGAGCCCACAGGCTGCTGTGTGGGAGGAAAGCCCTGCCCCATCCACCAGCACGCCAGGGCGCTGGGCAGATGTGGCAGGGCTGTGCCCTCTAGCACAGGGAGCCCTTGTGCCTGGAGATGCCAGCGCCCACCGGAGGCCCTGCTCCTAGTGCAGGGCCCCAGAGGGCGGGGACCACTGCCCTACCAGCCTGCACCAGGGCCACGGACGCTGACGGACACTCACATAACCTGCCACTCGGCTGTGCTGCACCACCAGGGATGCCGCCTCAGCCCAGTCCTGTAGACTCGGGGCGCTCAGGGGGCAGCCCACGGCGGGACAGAGGGGCTGGACCCTGGGTCCCAAGGCCTTCCATTCCTGGGCGGCCCCACACATGGAGATGAGGTGTCCCTACAGGTCTGGCCACCCCACACGGCCAGTCAGGGCCAGAGATGGCAGCACCGGCCTGGCCTGAGGATGCTGCCCATACCCCATGAGCTGGTGTTTGGTTTGCTACCCTCGACCAGCTAACCCACCCCCACCCCGACCGTGGCTCTCCCTCGGTAGCCGTGCCCCGTGGCTCCCCACGCTCACCTTCTCTGTGGTGATGTTGGTCTCTGCATCATGACGCTTCTGGGTGAAGATGATGTTGAAGACAGCATGGGAGCGGCTGCTGGTCTCATTCATGTTTGTGGCTGCCACAGTCCTGAGAACAGGAAGCCACCCGGGTCACTGCTTGTCCCACAGTCAGCGCCAGCGTTGCTGGTGGTGCCAACTCATGAACCAGGTCAGTGGGCCTCACAGCCCTGGCCTCGGGGCTGCTCTGCCCGGCCTGGGGATGTCTGTGCCTCCTCCTACCGGGCTCCAGCCCCGGCCCCGCCAGCCCACCAATGAGGCCCTCCCGCTGCAGGTGACTTAGTCAGGAGCACGGTGACCTAGAGGACAAGCCCTGAGGAGCCTGGGTCGGTCATGATGCTGCCCAGCCTGCCAGGGTCCTCAGAGGAATCTGCCCAAGACTCAGTCCACTGTGTGTGGCCCAGGGCCTGCCCGGGGTACCGAGGGTCAGAGAGACCCCACCAGGAAGAATGTCCCTCCGCTGCCAGAGTGGTTTAGAACCCCCTACGACTCAGGAGCTTGGGCTGGCATGGACAATCACCTTGCCCTCCCTGGAGTCCCTGGGTAGCAGAGAGTGGGACAACTGTTACTGTGACAACTACAGCACCCCAGGAAGGAGGTCCAAGGCAGCAGTGGCCGCCTCCCCGCCAACTGGCCCTCACGTCACTGGCCCCTGGGCCTGGAAGATCCGCTGCCCTTGGGGATCAAGAGGGGCCCCACAGGAGGCAGCTGCTGCTGACCCTGCTTCCCCCCCACAGCAGAGGGCACGCCCCTTGGAGGAGCAGCTTGGATGTGGTGACAGTGACCCCTACACAGGGGGAGCCCAGGGCCTCTCAGGCTGGCACATGCCTCACTGGCTTCACGCCTCAGGCCCACACCTTCTTGGGGGCAGCCAGACCTATCGGGAGACCCGCAGACCCTCCAAGAACCATGCCAGTGGAGAGCAGAGAGTTGGGAGGTTGGCCCCACTCACCTGGCCTTGTTCCCTGAGTCCATGAGGTCCTGGATGTCATTGTAGGAGGTGACAGCCAGCTTGGAGAGGTCCTCCACGTAGGGCCCCAGCAAGGGGTGCTCCCTCACGCGCAGGTTGCCCTTGTTTTTGGGGTTCAGAAGGTCGCGGACACGCTCACAGTAGATCTCCATGTAGCTGACCTGCAGGGAAGGGGCCATCAGGGCTGGCTGGGAGGCCCACAGCTGCCGCTGGTGGGCTCCCCATGAGCGTGGGTGTCAGCATATGGCTGCCCGCCTGGCCCTCCCCTGGGACTCGCCCGGCAGCCTCTGCCCCTGTGGTCACACCAGGCCACACGGCTCAGAGGCACGCTGGTGCAGGGCAGGCACTCAGCCCAGGCCAGCCCTGTGGCCCTGTGCCCCTGAGTCCCACACAGTGGGCCGGCCGGCCCTCGTGGGGCCGTGTGAGGACAGGCAGGGGTACCAACCTCCACAGAGTAGGACATGTTGTTGTTGGTCGTGTCATTGATCCGAGAGAAGAGGTCTTCACAGAGCTGCGGGGACAGGGCGCACGGTGGGTGGGTGAGTGAGGGCTGGGCCTCCTGGAGCCTCGCCCTGCAGCGCTGTGGGCACCCAGGCCCCAGCACACCCTCTCGGCGCAGGTGCTACACAGAGGTGCTAGGAAAGGCTGCAGCCAGGGACCAGGTCCTGAACCCTGAGGAGCGTCTGCTGTTGCCCTGTCCTTATCGGCACGGGGCTGAGGCCAGGTCCCGTGAGGACCCCACGTCCGTCCTTCTTTGGGCAGGCAGAGGGCTGAGTGCAGAAAAGCTCAGGGGTGGGGAGGGCAGGGCCCCAGCAGCGTCCAAGAAGCTGCCTGTGACTCAGTGCTGGGTCATCCCAGGCTCCTGACTCGACTTCCCATCCCAGCCCTCACAGCCCCCAAAGAACTGAGCCAGCCTGTGCAGGCCCAGCCCCTGCAGCCACCCCAGTGGCTCTGCCTCGCCCTGCCACATGCCTGGGGGATGATGCCCTGCTGGTCCTTCTCCTGCTTGCCCATCATGGTGTAGGACTTGCCGGCACCCGTCTGCCCGTAGGCAAAGATGCACACATTGTAGCCCTCGAAGGCGTGCTGCAGCATCTCCTCCCCGATGTCACAGTACACCTGCTTCTGCGAGGCGTAGTTGATGTCCTCGGGCTGGAGGCAGGAGAGGTATGGCTGCAGGAGGCTGTGTGCACCCCAGCTGGGCCCCAGCCCCCAGGTCTGTGCAGCCTGGGCTGGGGGCTCCGGGCCCAGCTGGCCGCACAGCACAGTGCTGCCCAAGGAGGTGGGTCACCAGCGCAGGATGAGGAGCAACTGGAGAGGGCAGGGGCTGCCAGGAGAGGGGCAGCATGGCACCGGCCAGGGCAGCAGTGGCAGGGATGGCGACCGCCAGGGCTGCAGAGGAGGCGGGCCAGCGGCCAGGGACCCACAAGCCGGGCGCTGGTGTCGGGACGCTATCCTGAGGGCTGGGGCCCTGTAGGCAGAGGCTCAGCCTGGCCCCAGGCAGGGTCGCCCTGGAAGGAGGTCAGACTAGACAGAAGGCAGAAGTGGGGGGCCAGGTGCACAGAGATGTGCGGGTGTCGCAGGAGTTTGATTGGCAGCGCTGGGTGCTTCCAGAAGGACCCACGGAGAGGTGGGCAGGGCAGGGGTCGGGGGGCACTGGATGTGGGGTGGGAGGGCACCCCTGGGCTCAGCTGTGGGCTTCTCTGAGTTCAGGGTGTCGGGTAAGTGGGGATCCCAGCTGGCAAGTGGACACACACACCCCAAGCCTGGCAGCAAGCGTGCCAGCTCCAGGTGACCCTCCAGGAAACAGGGTGGCCCGACCCCACTCGGAGGGCAGCATGTGGCTCAGGGAGCCCAAGGCCTCGGGAGGGACATGCAGTGGGCGGGGCTGAGCTGGCACCGCAATGCCAGCCTGCCTGCCCAAGCCCTGGCTCACCGAGGTGTGCGACCAGTAGGAGTAGTCGAAGCTGAAGCTCTTGGGCGTCTCCTTGGGCTGCTTAGGGTTGATGATGGCTGCAGGTAGGGGACAAGGTGAGGCAGTTAGTGCTATGCTGGGGGCCAGCCAGAGTCTGCACTCTGAGGCAGGAAGTCGGGTCCTCAGAGGTCTCTGCCTCCAGGCAAGCCCAACCAACCAGCTGGAGGGGACCTGAGCTACACTTCCAGGCGGGTGGGTTGTTTCTGCCCCTCTCTTTGTGGTGGACCCTGCTGCCCACAGATGCCCAATGCCATTGCCAGGCTGGGCCAGCAGAGCCTTGCTCTCCAGCTGAGCTGAGTCTGACCAGGTCACTCCTTCCTGAAAGCACGGAGTCAAACCACAAGCCACACCCTGCCCCATCTCTGGGGTCCACAGCCACCCCTCTCTGGAAAGCCCAGTGCCCCTGGGAGCCAGTGGGAGGGCACAGGTAACAGGCCTGTCCTCAGGGCAGGGGGGCTCCCGTCCATGCTGCCCCCAGGAGTGGGCGGGCAGGAGAGCAGCAGAGTGCCCCGGCCCTGGCTGGGACCTGGGGACAGTGTCATCCATGAGGCCAGAACTTGAGAGCAGATGAGGACACACGGCAGGAAAGACAACCCCTACCCAAGTGCAGCCACACAGGGTCTCCACAGGGTGGTGGAGCTCAGGTCACAGCACCTGCCTTTGTCCATTTGCCTCCTCACCCCTGCACTGCAAGCCAGGGTCCCAGCCCTGCCCGGCCCACCCAGCTCGACAGGCCTGCGCCCACAGCCAGGCTCTGGCCCCTTGTCTGGCACCTGCCCATTGGGTGGACTGGCTGTCATCGTACTCCCAGAGGCAGGGCCTCCCGCAGGTGGTCCCCCTGCTGGGTGGGGAGGGGTTGCAGGCTCAAGCTGCAAGTGGCCCGTGGGGAGTCCCTCAGGCCTGGTGCCTTCCTGTCCCCTTCCCAACCCCAGATCAGGGGTTCTGTGGGTGGCTGGAAATACCCTCAATCATTACAGACAGGGTCCCAAGCTCCACAGAGGAAACAGCCCCCTCCAGGTCACACTGGAACCCAGTGTCCCCGGGTCTGGCTTTCTACCTGCACCTCCCACCCTCAGGGGGCCTGTGAAGGCCTGGGGTGGGCGGGGCCACTTCCCACTGAGACAGTGGCTCTGCTGTGGTGGGGTCCTGAGGGGAGTGCTTCCCTCACTGAGCCCCTGGCTGCCCCGGCAAAAGTTCCAGCAGTGCGGCAGGAGAAATCAGGCCTCTCGACAGGCCACACCCCAAGGCCCCCACCCCTTCCCACCCTGCTGCAGCCATGCCCAGAGCTGGGGGCCTGCCAGGGAAAGACACACAAAGGAGGCCTTCGCAGGATGGCCACCAGAGGGAAGGACGGCGGAGACAGGCCAGGCATTGTTCACTGGTGGGAAATGAACTTGACTGAGCAACTTTCCTGGAATCCCAATGTCCCCTGCAGCCAGGGGCACGCACAGCAGGGAAGTGTGAAGCTGCTGCCCAGCAACAGAGCCTGCGAGGATACGGCCATGTCCCCGGAATCCCCATGAAGGTGGCGTCTGGAGGTGAGACCTCGGCAGGTGACAGGGCTGGAAGAAGCCACAAGGGTGCGGCCCTCACAGGGAATTGTGGGTTAACAGGAAGAAGACGAGACCAGAGCACCCCATTCAAGGACACGGTGAGACACGGCCATGTGCAGGCTGGGACCGGGCCCCATTAGCACTGGTGCCTGTGGTCCCTGGGCCTCAGGCTTTAGCCACCAGACCAGGAGAGACACCTGTCTGCGCTAGAAGGCAGCCTGAGGGACACTGCGCTGCAGCCCAGACACCTGGTCTCCACCCCTGGCCTCCAGGCTGTGGGGCACACGCTCTGTCATCGCCGGCCACTCAGTGTGTCACTTATTACAGCGCCATCTCCCTGCCATGCTGGCCTGGCTCCTGCACAGCACGAGTGGGTCCAGTCTTGGCGGTGACGGCACTCGACAGCACCCAGGCTCCAGGTCCCTGTCTGCAAAGCGGAGGCAGGGACCGGGCACCCTTGTCCCTGGGGTTTACCTGTGCAGCTAAGGGCTCAGAAGTGACCAGAATCAGGGGAGAATCCTGCAGCACAGACGGGGACACCAAGGCCACCAGCCAAGGGCCCCAACAAGAGAACTGAGAGCAGAGCGGCCCCACCACCAGCCAGCACCCAGACCTGCAGGGATGGGCTTCTAGGAGTACAAGAGTCTGCCTTCTGTGAGCAAGGGCGGGGCTGCAGAGAGGGGCCGGCGCGGCCACTGCTGATGTCCGGAACAGCACCGGGTCCATGGCAAGAGCACCATGGCAACCCGGCCGGCGTGGGACTGCCGGGCACGGGGCTTCCCACCGAGAGCAAAGGTTACAGGACCACGGCCCTCGAGGTGCCACAGGGCGCCCCTAGCACACCCAACCCTTAGTAGGCCTGGGGACACCCTGCCTGCTGATCAGAGGCCCCTGCCCCAGGCAGCCTCTGCGGTCCAGGGCCCCAGGCCAGGGGCTTCGCAGGGCCAGCATCCACGGGTGGGCAAGGCACTGCTGTCTTCCTGTACCCAGGACCAGGAGACGACTGGTGCTGACTGCTTGTGACACAGCACAGGACCCAGGCGCACGCAGAGCCCAGCCAGCCCCACACCGGGGCAGCAGCTGGTTCTCACCCTAAGGCTTCGAGCTTCGGGTGGACATCTGCCTGGACAGACAGCCCAGATATAGGCAGGGATTGCAGAGGACCTCAAAGCAAGCTTGAGCCAGGCCAGTGGCTCCCCATGGTACGAGGCCGAGGAGTTGGGCACAGGGGCCACTGGGTCCCCACCATGACTGCTCCCTGCCCTGGTGCTGGGCCCCTGCCGTGCCTACCTTGTGAGCCGACCTCTGGGGTACGTGTCTGCTACCAGTTAATAACCGCCGTTTCTACTGGAGCACAGAGCCAGGAGGAGGCTCAGAAGCCTGTCCCCTTTCTCCCCGCTGTGGCAGGCAAGTCCTGCTGCTCAGGAGACCCTGTAGGGCAGGCCCATCTTCTGGGCCACTAGACATTGCCATCTTCACTTCCTGGTCCCGTTCCTCACGTTTGGGCCAGGCCTCCTGAGGTTGGAGGTCTGGGTGGCTCACAAGGAGAAGCACAATGGGAAAAGCTAGGGCAGGAACTGTGTGTGCTAAGTTAAACAGTGTGTCCTCACAACCGTGCACTCCCAGGAATCTCAGAGTGTGGCTTTATCTGGAAACAGGTATTTAAAGATGTAGTCAAAGCACGCAGGGTGGCACGTGCCTATAATCCCAGCACTCAGAGGCTGAGGAGGGGGATCACATGTCCAAGCCTGACGGCAGCTTAGCAACTTAGCAAACCCGTCTCAAAATAAAGAATAAAAAGAAGGCTGAAGATGTAGCTCAGTGCAAAGGCCCTGGGTTTGATCTCTAGTACCACAAAAAAACCCAGATGTGGTCATCTGTTAACATGAGGCCATACTGGCCTCAGGTGGAATCCAGGTCCCTTCCAGGAGGCCACATAGAAATGCAGACACAGATAGCAGAGGAGGCAGAGAGGGGCAGAGTGGCCACAGCCTGGCTGGCTGGCGACCACCAAAAGTCAGCCGAGGCAGGGAAGGTCTCCTCAGGCCCTCGGCAGGGGTGGCCCTACACACGCCTGACGTCTGCCTTCTGGGCCTGGCACACTGAGAGCTTCTTGTCTGAAGCAATCTGTTAGGACAGCCCCAGAACGCAGCAGGCCCGGGCCACGTTGAGTGTCTGGCCAAGGGCACAGGGCCAGGGGCAGCTGACCCTATGCCCCCAGTACTCACTGGTGGTGCTTCCCGACATCTGGATGATGCACTTGGAGTCACGGCTCATCTCCCGGGAGTTGAAGGGGCGGACACGCACCGCCACCTTCACCGAGGCCCCGGCCATCTCTGCGGCCCTGGTCGGTGGCTGGAGCCCCCACGAGTGTGGAAGAGACCTTTGGAAAAAGGGAAACAGGAATCAGAAGCAACATCCAGAGGGGCTGAGTGGGAGCCTGGCTGCTGGCAGAACCACACACGAGCCTTCTCTGTTCCTTTAAACCCACCCAGCAGTATGTGCAGGTGACCAGCCCAGTGGGACTGGGACCCACCAGTGAGGAACGGAGACTTCCAACAGCACAGAGCTGATGGGAGGAGTAGAAGTGCAGTGAGCTGGGCACAAGAAGGAGCTGACAATTGGAGTCACGGTGACCTTGCCAAGGCGACCCTCGCCCTGAGCAGACCCTCCAGATGGGCTTCCTCTGTGACACAGCCCCGGCGTGGCCACTGGTGGCTGGAACACTCTGGCCTCCAAAACTATGCACCAGGGCACTCGGGGGAGCCGGGTAAGGGACCTGTGATCCAGCTGTGTGGCTCCACCTGCCTCAGTGTACAGAACGTGAAATAGCAGTTGAGAGCAACCACCCCAACGTGATTCTGCCTCCTGGGTCCCAGGACTCAGGGTGGCTGCTAAAAACTCATCCCAAAACTGCGAAGCAGCAGCCCCTTGAGGTCGCTTGGGCCGCCTGCTGGGTGGGCACTGGAGCTGTCCCACCCAAGGGCCCCGCAGTCTGAAGGAGAAGACTCCAGGCAGAGGCCGTCAGGCACAGCAGGGCGAGGCCGCCAGCACACAGTGCTCATTTTGCCCAATGCACAGCGGGATTCTCGGGGCTTCCGGCCACTGCTATCTAAAACTGACCCAGTGTCTGTTACCGGCTGAGCTCCCTATCGCCAGAGGCATGAAGCAGTGCAAAGGCAAAGGGTGGGCTCTCTGAAGCCCTCGTACACTGAGAGTCCATAAAGCCCGGCTTCTGAGGAAGCAATCTTCCGCCCCGTCCTCCCCACCCGCTGCTGCCATACTTGGAGACTCCGACTGAAAGGCCCCTTCCCAGTGTCCCCGCCCCACCTGTGATAACAGGACAGGGTGAGCTAGGATCAGGGCATGGGGAGCACAGCACCGGCCCAGCCTGGACCAACGCAGACTCAGGGCCTCAACTCCAGCCTCTGAGGGCCAGCACCCGGCTCCCCATGAGTCCACGGAGCAGCTGGACCCGGGACAGAACTTTCCTCCGCTCACAGCCCTTCCAGAGTGGCAGGCCTCCCAGTCAGGAAGCTTCACCAACACCCAGAACTGACACTCACTCCCCAGAGCTGGGGCACATCCACGGGCCAGATACACATGCATGAGCGTGCACACACACACTGTGAAGGGTGCCGCGGGACTGGATTGGCCTTGTGTGGGACAACTGGCTATTCCACACTGCAGAAAAAACAAGAGATCTCTCCTTAAAAGCGCTGCAGGAACACACTGGGGGCTCTGTTCACAGCTCTGGGACAGAGAAGACCGCTAACAGGAAGCTGTCAGAGAAAGGGCCTTTGGCCCTGGGGTGGGCAGTTGGTGGCAGCAGACTGAGGCCAAGGAAGCTGGCTAAATGGTAAAGCAGCCTGCAGGAGGCAGAGCTGCCAGAGCCGGCCCAGAGCCCGAGCGGGGTTGCAGAGTGGTGCGCTGGGAACAGCGTCCCTCAGCACCCCTCCCCGCATCTGCATTCCGGGCACATGGCTGGGATCTGCAGTCTTCCCAGGCACAAGCATTGCTGAGGGGTCTGCAGAGCAGTGCTGGGGAGAATCAAGTGTGAGAGGCGGGCGATAAATGAAGAAATGGCCAGCTCGTTCCTTAAGACATTTGCCAGATCCTGAGCAAGGGTATAAGGCATTAGGGGCAGAATTCTAGAAGCCAAGCAGAAGCCTCCGAAAGCCCATGGGGTCTCACAGTGTCAGCTGCTACAGAACCCAGACAGGGGTTCAGGGCCCTGCAGGAAAACCCCATACACACAGACCACGACCTGCAAGACCTTTGAGTGACCGTATTTGCACTTTAAAATACTCATGGCTACTAGGTTCAAACTACGAGAAAAAATGATTGAGAAAATAAATGGGAAAATGGAGAATTTTGCCAGAGGAATTAGTAGCTATGAAAGAATCAAGTGGAACTTCCAGAAATGAAAAACACATGACAACTGAAACTGAGAAATGAGGACATGAGATAGAGTTGAAGGCAGAGTGAAGGAACAAGAGGACAAGCAATGGAAAACTTAAATGGAGAGGGCCGGGGATTTAGCTCAGTGGTGCCGCCACCTGCCTCACAAGTGCAAGGTCCGGAGTTCGATCCCTGGCACCAAAAAAAAAAAAGTGGAGAGAGGCCTGGCATGTAGCTTAGCATGCATAAGGCCTGGGTTCAAACCCCAGTGCTGCAAAAACAAAAGATAAGCTGAGAAAAAAATAATGGAAAATAGAGAAATCAGAGTCAGAGGAAAAAGGGACACAGTGAAATGGTCTAACGTGCACATATGTGAGACCCAAAATGGAAAGAAACAGGTGGGATCTGCTGATGTGAATGCCTGTGTCCTTCCCAAATCCTCACCCAAAGCCATGGTACTGGGAGACAGGACCCTGGGGGTGAGCAGGTCAGGAGGGTGGGGCCCTCATGACCAGGACAAGTGTCCTTCCACCACAAGAGGACCCAACAGCAAAGTCCCACTGTGGTCCAGGCACTGAGCCTGCCTGGGCCTTGACCTCCAGCCTCCAGATCTGTGAGAAATGAGTCTGTTCTTCAAAAGACTCCCAGCCTGTGGCATTTTTTAAAGCACCCTGAACAGACCAAGACAGCACAGGGGCAGTATTTTAAGAGAATGGCACGAACTGTTTCAAGCTGCTGAACTGTATCCAAGCACCAGATCCAAGAAGCCCTGAAAACACCACTCAAGTTAAACATAAACCCACACCGAGGGGTTCATCACATTTAGGCTGCTTAAACCCCAGATGTGAGAAACAACGGAAATAAACACACGCTATAGGGAGCAGAGCAAGACAGACAACGGACCGGAGGGAGAGCACCGGTCTACCTGGGCCAGTCAGGGGTGCAGTGGTAACTGCTATGGCAACCACTCAAAGGGGAGAACAGTAATGAACAACTAGCAAGCTAACAGAAGGAAAAGCACAAGAAACTGTAAAGTATCCCTTATTAATCCAACAGGTGGCAACAAAGGAGAAAAAGCAGAATACGAAAAGTTGAGTGGAAAGTAAAGATCGTACATAAAAGTCCAACTCAATATGCCTACATCCTCCAAGGAAAATATTACAATTGTCAGACTAGATTGTTTCAAGTTTATTATTTATTGAATTAATTTTAATTGACACATAAAACATAAATGGTGTACATATCAACAGGTAATGTGATAGTTTAATACATTATGCAATGTTTAAATGAAGTTCAACTTATGAGGTGTTATCAAAATTATAGTGTGTTTAAATTTTAAAATTTATTATAGTAAAAGACATATTTCCATTAATCCCCCTCAAAATCCTTCCCCTAACTTGGAACTCATTTACCCCATTGTTCTTGCCACTTTCTGAAGCAGCTCTGCAAGCTCTTTCTTTAACTGCACCGTCATGGCTGCCTCAACATCCTGAATACATTCACTAGTTCCCTGCCATGGTCATTTTGACAATGGGGAGGAGCCAAAAACTGCACAGTGCCAGGTCCAGTGAGTAAGGTGGATGAGGAAGCAGCGTCATGTTTTTACAAGCATGCCTTTCCGTAGGTTGGCGCTCGGCGACAGCAGTCACTGTACCTTGACCACACCTCCTGAAGACACTCACAAAAGAACTTCCAGAACTGTTTCAGAGAGCGCAAGAATCAGGGGATGAGTGTGTTCAAAGGGAGAAAGACTGTGGGGAAGTTAATGGTGATGCACATTTTCAATTTTTTAACCTAAAAGTTCACTGGGTTTTTCAATTATCTCTTGTACCTTCTCTAACATTTATCATTTATGGTAAAAACTTTCAAAATCCTTTCTTCTAGCTATTTGAAATGTACAGTATTATTAGCTACACTCACCCTACTATACAGTGGCACAACACAACTTCTTGCTTCTGACTGTGATTCAGTACCCATTCATCCATTTCCCCAGCCTTCACCCCAGCCTTGGTAACCCTCAATTCTACTCTCAACTTCTATGAGATCAAGTCTAGGTTCCACAAATGAGAGAGACCATACAGTGTCACTCTATACCTGACTCGTTAGGACAAGGTTTCAGTCTTCTTATGGCTGATCAGTATTCCACTGTGTATATGTGCCACATCTTCCTTATCCATTCATCAGCTGCTGGACACATTTCTTGGCCATTGTGAATAGTGCTGCAGTGAACATGGCAATGCAGATGTCTCTTCAACATATGAATTTCATTTCCTTGGATACAGACCCAGTTCAGTAGTGGAATTACATGGTGGTTCTTTTTTTAATTTTTGAGGAGCCTCTATACTGGTGATGGCAAACCTACAGCATATGTGCCACAGCACACAGTTTGTCATTGGGAGCTCTAAAAGGTTCACCATCTTTTCAATACTGTTTTCTGTAACAGCTGTGGTAGCTTACATTCCCACCAACAGTGTACAGTGGTTCTCCTTTCCTCATGTTCTCGCCAGCACTTGTATCTTTTGTCTTTTTGATACCAGTCTTAGTGGGATAAGCAGATGCTTCACTGGTTTGATTAGCATCTCCCTGATGATCAGGGATGCTGAGCATTTGTGGTGTCTTTGTTTCTGTTGTTTTTTTGCACACCTGTTGACCACGCACACGTCCTCTTTTTGAGAAATGTCCATTGCCCATTTTTTAATTGGGCTGCTGGTGTTTTGCTACTAAGTTCTTGGAGTTCCTTATATATTCTCCACATCAACCCTCTGTCAGATGTAGAGCTTGCAGATATTTTCTCTCATTCTGTAGGTTGTCTGTTCACTCTGCCAATCCACTTTGTGTTGGTTTTTGCACAGAATGAGAGAGAAGAGTCTTGTTTTGTTCTTCTCAAGGTAGCCAACCAACTTTCCCAGCAATATTTACTGAAAAAGACTGTCCTTTCTCTAGTGTCTGTCTCCAGCATCTTCAGCAAACATCAGCTGGCTG